CTAAATAAATATTTACTAAAGTAAGAATTACTACAAATTTATTATAATAATCTATATATTAGCTATTAAGAAGTTAAAACTATAAAAAAACTATTTAAGTAAAAATTCTACTAGCTAGGTATATAAAATAATATATAGGAATATATAAAGACCTATAATATTTATAAAAGGAATAGAGTTCTTAAATATAAGCTATATAAGCAGTTAAGCTTACTATCTATAGTAAAAAGACCCTAACAGAATATATTAATAAACTTTATTATTAGCCTACTATTATTAACTTAATAGAGAGTTAAATATAATATAATATTAGTAGTTATAGACTAATACTTTAAGATAGCTCTATATATCTTAATCTAAGAAATAATTATAGTAGAAGACTTAGCTGACCTAATTATAAAAGGGATATATTACTAGTTTAATCCCCTAATATTAATTATTTCTAATTAGAGATTAGTATTTACTAATAAATATTAGACTAAGCTTTATTAGTATATATAAATTACTTAATTAATAAGTATTATTTTTTATCTATAAACAGATAGGCAAATAGAGCACTAGAATTAAACCTTAGAGTATTATCTAAGAGTATATATAAATTATTATTAAGATAACTAGGCGTTATTATTAAATACGGCAGAGTATACTTATAATAATATAAAGCATTCTACTATTAAATACTTACTATTTAAGGCCCTTTATAGCTTTAATCCTAATAGCTAGGATAAATATAATATAAGAATAAGATTAAATATTCCTGCTATTAAGAAATAACTTAAAAAATTATTAGATATTAGGGTAAAGTTAGAGAAGCACTTATAATATATTATTAAGGTGTAAGCGAAGTATTATAATAAGAAACATATACCTAAATTATATAAGATAGGGGATTAAGTTTTTTTATTAATAAAGAATCTATAAATTAATTAATTAAATAAGAAGTTAAACTATTAATTTTCTAGATCCTATAAAGTAATAGAGATAATTAAAAAGCAAATATACTAATTATAACTGCTAAAGAGTCTAGGCAGAATATATCTAATATTCTATATATCCCTGCTAGAACCCTATAATTAATAAGAAGAGATAGAACTTAAACAGCTAGATCTAGTTCTTATTAATAAAGAATAAAAATAAGAGGTAAAAGAAATCCTTAGCAAATAAATATTTTATAAAAAAAATAGTTCTTAATAAAATAAAAAAGATATCTTTTATATAAAAACTTATAATAAATATTAGAAGATCTTATATATATAATTAAAGCTTTAGAAGAATATTATAGCAAAAACCCCAGCAAAGTTTTTAATATAAGTAAGCTGCTTAAATAAAAGTAAGATAAAAGGAAGCTAAGAACTAGAAAGTAAAGCAAGACAAATAAATAATAATATTTTTTCTCTTATTAAGTTTTTTAATTATTATTAAATATATTACTATATATATTACTCTTTTTTTAATTTTCTTACAAGGTTTAAGAGTTTTAAAAAAGATATAAAAGAAAGAAATCTTAATAGGAATAATTTAATTTAATTAGGCTAGCCCTAGCTAATAATCTAAATATAGGCCTATAAAATTATCCTACTCAGCTATTTTATTATTATAAAATCTTTTAATAATATCTTCCTTCTCCTTATTAGAGAATAGAGATAGTCCCTATAATTAGATAAATATATTTATTATATATAAGATATTGCAGTTTAATAAATAAATTATTTAATATAACTCTTAAAGGAGATATAATAACTCTAATTTAAAATATAATAAGATTAGTAAGATAATAGCAGTACTGAGCTAGTGTCTAATAGTCTTAAATATAGATTTTTATATATATGCTTTTATAGAAGAAATATATATATTTATAGCCTTATTAAAAGACTTTAAATTATCTAAGAGATAAGCCTCTTAGCTAAGACTCTAAATATAAGTTAACTTGGCCTTATATATTAGCAGTATAAGGATATATAGCTTATAAAGGCCCTTATAATAAAGACACTTTATATTAATATAAAGACAGATATACTATTACTTTAGATCTTATATTAAGGCCTTTAAATAATAAAGACATATCTCCTGTAAAATAGGAGGAAAGTCTTTAATTAAACCCTTTAAGCTAAAAGGATTTATAATAAAATCTGTCTTAAAAACAGCAGGATAATTTATTACTATATTAGTATTAATAATAATAATTAATATTATTATCTTAGAGAGAGCTAAATTAATCTAAGGAGGAGATATTTTAATAGCAGCTTTAACTCTAGGAATAAGAGTTATAATAATATCTTAAATTCTTTAAGTCTCTATATTAGGGACCTTCTTTATTTTTAACCTCTTTTATAGTTTTTTAGCTAGCTAAATAAAAATTTCTTTTATTATAAGTATAATAAGAGTAGTATTATTATAATTATATTTTAATTTCTAAAGAGAATGCAATAGACTAGCCTATATCTCCTTATATATAAGAAGAACTATATTGCCAGATATAAACTAACCCCTATATATCTTAGATAGAAGATACTCCTTTACTAAGGGGTTCTTTATAGATAACTCTAGCAGAGATACTCTACTATTATTATTAATGGCGGTAAATAAAATAATTTATAAAAAAGGAGTTATTAGTTCTAATATTATATTAGCAGTTAGAGATATAAGAGGGAGAAATAGTTTATTAAGCTACTTATTATCTATATTAAGCTAATAATTAAATAGATAATCTTTAATTAGCAGCTATAATAGCTTAAGGCTAGCTATAAAGGTCTTATTAAAAGAGTCTAAAATAAATAAAATATGCTTAAAGCGCTTAAGAGGTATTATTATATTAATTAGCATTATTATATAAATCTAAAGAGTTATAACTTATATTAAGCGCATATATAGGACCTATAAAAAAATAACTCAAAAATCCTATTTTTAATATACCTATATAACTATTAATTATTTCTATATTTAAACTATTAAAAGCAGCACTAAATAAGCTGTAGAAATAAGAAAAAAATAGCTTAATATACAGGCAGAAGGACAGGAGTTAATTAGCAAAAAATATAAATACTCTTAATCTCCTAAATAAAAATATTAAAATAAAGCCAATATTAAATAAATTCATATAATAAGCATGCCTTAACAGCAACTTACTACTATTACTATAGCTATGCCTAAATATTTAAACCTATATAATAAATTTTATATAGCTCAGGATAAGCCTTTTAATAGGGGGGGATATTATCACGAACTAGGGCTACAATACTTAATCTAGACCTGCTAAGACCTAGGATAGATAATAAAGGATAATGAGATAACTAGATTTATATATAATAGTTAGATCAGCTAGTTATAGATAGAGCTGTTAAGATTAAGTTATCTAGATAACCTAGTAAAATAGACAGATAAATAAATAACCCCTAAAAGAATAAAAGTTAGAGGGATTAGTAATTTATTTTAATTATTACTAAATCTAATCTTTAACTCTATTATGCGTAGACGGCTACTCGCCTGCGTCTCTACCTCTTATCTCACATTCTGTTTAACTAGTCCGACTAGTCACCTCTGATAAAGAGCTTCTTCACCCTAGCTCTTTACAAAGTAGTATATTTTAAAGTATAAAAAATATATAAGAACTTATATAAATAATTTTTATTATATTTTTTTTATAAATATTAAGATAATAAATATTTATTTCTTTATTTTATTTTAAGTATATCTATGTTGTGGGTGCTGTTAAAAATAAAAATATTATGTAGTTAATTTTTTGTAGTGTCGAAAACTTTTGCCGTAGTACTGTATCTTAGCATGTTCTCTGGGATAAGGCACACAATTCAGTCGTTCGTATTGTGTGCAGCTGCATGTAACCCTCAGATCAGAAGGACCCTGGCAGGTATTGCGGCCATAGGATATGGCACAGTGTAAACAATATTAATAACTACTGTTGGTTTTCGAAACGCTGGCTATAGAGTAGGTAATTGGGGCTGCGAGGTTGATTACTCTGCTATTCATGAAGTAGTAATAATAGTTCACTATACCTTGACTCTACATGCACTAACATACCAATAATGGAGACCCACCCAGAATCTGTACCTAACTATGGTACTCTAGATACCAAAGTAATACTTACTACTGCTATGAGTATATATACTCTCCAATATAACCTTAGGATTTCAAAAATCAACCAATTGGAATTGTACCCAGTATCGATACCCAACGGCAGTCAGTTGTCCTCCCGATCCCAGAATATGCATTGTCCCTCAGACCCTGCAGACCCGACGTTTCGGATAGGCGATGAGCGCTGCAGGGAAGGGCAAGCTTTTCCCCGCAGATTTGAAAAGGTGCTGACATAAGTTCATACTTGATGTCAAGTTAGTTAACTACATTAGTTAATAGTTACAACAGTAGTAGTATGCAGCTCAGCACGCTCTAGTGCTCAGGAACGATGTACCGACACGCAAATGAATGAAATGAGTGACCTGATCAATCTACTGCATCACTTCATGATAAAGTAATTCATAGTCTGACAAGGATCAGAAAACGATCGTTCAAGTAAATACGATCCACCAATCTCAGTATCTCATTATCCCATATATGCCACAGGGTTAAATTATGCACTTTTTCTATCACATCATTATTAACAAATATAGCTTTATCCCCGTCTCGAAGGAATAACGTGTGTGTGTGTGTGTGTGTGTGTGTGTGTGTGTGTGTGTGTGTGTGTGTCAAGTCTTTCTAGAAGTCTGAAATAGCTGTCTTCATGAGTCTATGCCGGAATTCGTAAGACGTCGCTCAACCATGGAGCTGATTCTACGCCATGACGGGTCTGGCGAGGTAATCTCCGTAGACGGCTCGAGGACGGCAGCGTAGCCATCACTGCATCTTCTCAAAGCGCGGACCCGGAGCTCAAGGGCTGGGAGTATAACGCGACAGTGTCGCAAGTCTCCTCGCGGAAGCGGGCAGTGAGACTGCACACGATGACTGGGACTTGCATATACATACATACGAATCTATTCGTATATGTAGCTCTAATTCTGATGCATGATTTCCTACAAAGAAGTTAGCAGACTGCATGGACGAGCAAAAGGCCGGAGAAACCAAATCAACGTACGCTAGCGAATTTGCTCTTAGCGCGAATCTTTGGCCCAAAGAACAGCAACACCCAAGGAACAATCGTGAGAAGAGCGCCCTGGAATATTATTAGTGACAGCTGGATACGAAAGGGGGAGAAGACTGGACGTACGATGCCACCTAGGAGACTAGATGCAGCCGGGTAGCCGAGATTGTTGAACATGCTATTCGTTACCAAGGGAAATATACCACCGAGCAGGTTACGGCCTGGAAGATGTTTGTCAGTATCTCAGATAAAGATCAAAGGAAAAATCAAGATATTTACAGAAAGATTGGGCCGCTAGAGCAGAGCTTGCATATCGGTGATAGGTATCGGCCAAATAGTTAAACACGGCCAGGTAGATAGAAAAGATGCCCATTGTCGCACAGCCGACAGCAAGCGTTGGCACGATCCATGGGATAGACGAGAAGGAGGTCCAACCGAACCAGAAGAGTCCCGCGGGCATCAAGGCCGATTCAATGCAGGTGAAATATAACCGCCCCTCTGGTGTACTGGAGAGCTTGCCAAATCGCTGAGCGAGCCTCTCCTGGTAGATACTCACGAAAGTGGCGATAATAGATCCAACGCAAATTGCTATGGTCATCAGTTTCAACTTCCTGAGGCATCTCAAACTGATCTGTGAACCTACCGGTAAATACAGCGCCGACTTGCTCCAAATTAAAGTTGTGGTTTGCCATGAAAACCAGCGGAATAGAGCCGAACTGGAGATAGAGGACCGCCCAGCTGAAAGCGACCCAAAGCGAGAAAAAGAACACGACAGGCTCTGTGAAGAGCAGATCTGGTAGACATGTTATTCAGCATTAATTCACCCCGAAATGATCACGGTCAACTTACGGAACGGCCGATAACAGGAGATGCTGATCATCTTGACCAGCGATTCCCGCTCTTCGTCGCCCTTGACTTTCCATCGGATGCGCTGAACTCGCCGTCTTCCCGTGGACGTATCCGGCACCAGAACTCCAATGTAACCTGCCTCTTCCAGTCTTTCATAGTATTTGTTGAGCGCTTTCGCTTTGCGACTTAGGAGGATGCTGCCACGCGTTTCCTTGAACGATATGAAGATTACGAGAACGCAAACGGCAGAGGCAATAGCATGTGAATAGTATACCCATCGCCAGGAGGTCCGGTGTACAATGATGCTGCTGATCAAGGGGCCGAGGCCTGTGCCGAACAGTGCTGCGCCAGAAAATAACGCCATCGGGGCATTGCGGTCTTCTGCATGGTAGATATCACTGATGACTCCGCCAACCATAGTGGAAAAAGTAGCTTCGAAAAGAAAAAAAACCATCAGTCTTGCATCTGAAAGAGAAAGTAAAGACACGACTTGCAGAATAGACTTACATCCTCCTACACCCTGGAAGAATCGCGCCACAAGCATCCCGCCAAAAGAGTCCGTTGCTCCGCATCCGATGAGGCATACTATCCCCAAGAATATCAGCCTCTATATCCAATCAGACATGACTTGCGACCGAAGCTACTGACCCGTGAAAAGGATACCGCTGGATATGAACATGGGTCTCCTGCCATTGATCTCTGAGAATGGGGCTAGGACCATGGGCGCAATCGCGAACCCGGTTGTGAAGATGGTGATGCCCAGATCGTACACGACGGTACTGATGTGCCATTTAGGACTAAGTACCTTGGATGCCGGGTTGAACTCTCCAGCCGAATATGCCGCGAGTGCTGTCACTGCGCAGGAGATCCACGTAATGAGTGACTTGCGCCGTTCAGACCAGAGGAACGGGGACATATATTTCTTGAGGTTGGGAGGTTCTGGCGGCGGCTGCTGACCAGGTTCCGGGGACGATATACCGGCCGGTGGGGGTAGTGGTGTGTCGAAATTGAGATATAGATATTCGATTTCCTCCGATTCCATCCCCTCAGCCTTCTCATTCAGACCATATCCGGGCGGCGGTGTGTTCCTCGCGGTGTTGATTTCCGCTTCCGCATCGGGCGATTCAGCCCTAGCTTCGACATTGTGCTCCATTTTTGGGCCACTATTGTGTTGCGCGATAGCCATCTGGCAGGCCGCACGAGTACATAGTAGTGCCTTAGATGGCTCCACGAAGGGGAAGAAAGGGATTATAAAGGAACCATCGTCCCATTACGCTTCTACGTGGGAGTCATAGCGCATTGCCGAAGAAAACGAGGGGACCCCAAATTGACCTAGTGTGGAGATGCGGAGAGATATCCGGCTTTCTCCAGAACTCAACCAGCTTTACCTTTACCGAAGGCGACCAAAGATCTTCAGTAGGATTAATAATTCATTATAATGATAGTTCTGAGCCCCGTAACTAGCCGACATACTCTGATTACCGGGCCGAATGCGGTTCACCGATTGACCGAGCAGATAAGAAGGTAAAACGCCAATTGAGCCCACAACATACTTACAACAGTTATTACCTAGGAATCTTCACCTGAAGCACTGTTAACAACTTCTCCCAAACCCCACGCGACTAAACGAGATCGCATGTATTTCATAGTGACTGAACTTGCGAGGCTTTTGTATCAACATCTAGGCTCTTGAGGTCGATGGGGAACAACGTATCCACTTCAGAAACAAATCCGCAGCTTAACTATGGGATGTATCCATAATATCCATAATCCGTGCCTTTTAGGGCGCACCCACAGCGGGAAGCTGTCCCGACGGGTAGCTGTCCCGCTGCGGGTGCGCCACACTGCAACCGCGAATTTGCTCCTACTGTATTTGAAGCTATTATTATTATTGTTCATAAGAGTATATTCAGCCTTCCTCGCTGTAACCGATCAATTTCATCGAGTCCTTTTATGCTATATCGGTCTGGCTAACTGTTCTAACCTGTCATTGGTGTATTTTTGGTGTATTTGCGCCGTAGGGGTGCTTGTACAGCCCTAATCTGACTGATCGTATCATTTGCCATAGCAGGATATTCTGTAGCATATTCGATGACACTGCTCACAGGCATATGTCCACATCTTGCTAACCCATTGCTCAGGCTTACCAGTGCGTAAAAGTGCCTAAGTTGCACACGCGTGTAGTATCCTAGGAGTCACTGGTATATTCAATCACTCATATAGGCTACGCACTATATCAAAGCTTCCTGCTGACAGCTTTTAAGAGCCTTATCCATTAGTGTCCTAGTTAGTTAGTTGTATAAGCTTATATAGGATTCTTGATGTGTGTTGAAAGTGTTTCAATGAGAAATACTATATTCGCGCGCAATCTTCGGCGATATTGGGGTTTTCTTCGGGTTGGGCGAATCTGTAGGCCTCGATCAAGCGACATTCGTCAGATTTAGGATATCTGTCTTAGCTGAAGGGAGCGAGGAAAGATTGCATTAGGGAGACCTAGTTACGTGGCAACAGTTGTAATTATTCCTCCACTCTCTGGATGAACATAGCGGAGCGGGTTCCACCTGTCCCGATCGCTATACTGCTGTCTCTATTGCACCAGTAGCTCAAGCACCCAGATCACTTGACCCGTATCCCTTAACACGTGACTTAAAAAAGGCCATCATTATCAGAATTCTGTACCGCGAGACATGCCTGGTCATTATAGAAGAATACTCGAATCTCCGTTGGCAAGTGTTGAAACCCACTGTGATGCGGGTTGGAGAGATCTTCGATGTTGAGCAGAAGTTGGATGGCTCAGTCATCTTCGGATTCCTCGCTCTGCAGATATATCATGTCGCTCCTGCCAGTTAATAGGTGACCGCACATCGCCCGTGGATATTGGCGCTTAAACGGATCACACGATGGAAGATTTCGATAACCTCTGTGCCAATATAGCCTCCTGAGGATCTATATTCTTGCATAGCGCTCCGTCAGACAACAGCATCCCAAAACACAAAGGAAGCGCCTCCTCACCTGAGGATCTGCAATACCAACGCTAATCATCAACGCGAAACAGCTAATAATTGGACATCCCTCTTGCACGATAGGACTGTGCATACAATTTCATTTGGTGTAAATCCGCCTACCTCACGGAGTCGCAGTGCCCTTCTAGAGATGTAAAACACTGTCGAATCTCTTCATTGACATAAACACCAACAGTCCATTAATGTCTTTTGTTTTCCTTCAGCAAACCGCAATTATGTCTCGTGAGATCTTTCTGCTCGCCTTTCCCCAGCGCAATATCCCAGCGCATTGGTCCAGATACATCTAACAAAACCCTCTATCGTTGATCTCATGCGTGAGCTAGTTAATTCATATTTAAAGGAACTTCTTTGGTTAGGAAGCTCAGCAACGAATGCCTGACGTCAGAGGCTAGAGCCCAATACGAGCCATGCTCCCAAGGATCCCACTATTTGAGAAGGAATAAACCAGGAGGCACTTAATCAATTAGACAGATGGTCATGATTCTTGATTATATCTTCAGGAGGCTTATGGATTCTAGGAAGGACAAGGCTGTTCCTGAGCTAGAATTCAATCCCGGGCATGTAGTCGACCTTCCCAGGACCGATAACAGCGAAGCTGGGAATCAGATCATTATCTCTGGAACTTGTCCTGGTCCCAGGCGCAGTTAAGAAGGTCCCAGTCTAGGTCATTCTCGTCGTATCGGAGACTAGCAATAGACTATGAGTCATAATAAACTAATAATTTTTCAGATATCTTATGATAAACAGCTGACACGTGATACTGTTAATGTGGGACTGTTCTAGACTATGTCGAGTAAAGAGGGAATTTTAAAAACTATTTTATTTATTTAGTGAATGTCTTGATGTCTTTACTTAAAGTATTCAGATAACAGATAAAGTTGGTGCCCGCGTTTAGGAGCTCGTAGCGTTCTAGGGTGGGCCCTAAGGTAATCCCAGAAATCTCTAGACTTTAGAGCCCCAGTAGGAGACTGCCGAACAGCCGCATATTAGTAAAGGGCTTAAGCCATTAGTTAAAAAATAGGGACTAATAGCAGAAAAATTAATTGATGTTCTATGCGGTATGTGTATAGTCAGCCGCACCTCGGATTAGATACGTCCCATTTAATCCGTTAAGAGGATAGTAGACAGCCAACCAAATATTATAACGATGCCAGGCACAGTATCTTGGACGAGAAACTCGGACGGGCTTGACTCCTTGATTGTTTCCAAACCAACGAGTAGATATCTAACTAGCAGATTCTAGGCGTGAAAGTAGGTCTAAACGGCCATTACTTTATTGTTTCATTTCCCTCCCCTTTTTAACCTATCTTATGCGCAAACCAATATATGACTTCGAGGAAAGGAAACAAGGAAAGCTCTATTCGTCAGGTATATAGCGATACAAAATATTACACAGAGGTAAAAACAAGCACATCCCAAGCTTTTTTCTAGAGACATCGCACATCGCTATTTCTGGCGTGTCACCGACCATTCCTGCCTCACATTGATCCCGCTGGTTTCAATGATGTCATAGGGCTCACGTTCTGGATGATCCTTGTAGTTGGCCGAGTTACTATCATCCTCCAGTTTGTGGCCGGCCGCTGAGACGTCAATGGTTGTGACGCCCTCATCCATCCGCGTCAGAGGGTATTCGCCGTCGCGGAAACGTTGAGAATTCTTAAACGCGCTACTATGTGGTTGTGCTGAGTTGGAGACATATGCGCCCCGGGACGAGAACCATCTGGGGAAGGCCACCCGAAGCACAGGGCCGATCATCGGCACGCACGCGTTGGCCACGGCCAGGGCTGGCTCGGTCACACTCCAGAAGGCGGCCCAGATCATGGAGTAGGGAAGGTCAGTGAAATTGACCGTCGTGAGGACGCGAATTCGGATGATGGTGATGGCCGAGATACTAGTGAACGGATTGATTGAATCAATACATGAATGGTTAAGAGGAAGAATTGATGGATAGATCGCCAACGTACAAAAAGCCCACACAGAAGATGGCGGACAAACCCACTCTCATGATCCGAGACATGTGCAATTTTCGGATGAAGTGCAGCGGCAACACGATGATCATGAGGTCGGTGACCAGGTTGAAGGCTCCGATGGTGGAGAACGCGACGTTCTGGCTGGCGCAATGTGCCCCTGGTATGCTCTGGTTCCAGTTGGCCGCAAAGGGGTGGCAGAGGAGAAAGACTTGGAGCATGCTTCCCAGCCAGTATGCGGCTGCGCAGGCCATGCAGGCCCATGCCGCGAGGCGAAAGGAGCGCGAGACGAAAATGCGGAGATAGAAAAAGAGATAGGAAAACTTGGCCAGGACCATGGTGTTGTAGTAGACGATCTGGTAGGCGACTAGCTCCTGTTGCCGTATTAACATGCCATTATCAGGAATCTCTGGCAGGACGATGATCGGCGGGATGGACTGGCTGATTACCTTGAAAATGTAGATAGTATTCTCGGTTGGGATCTCACCAACATGGCGCCGCATGCCCACATGTGCATACTGGTAATGCATACCCAGCATTCCATATGTATGGATCTGATTCCCATTTGTCCGTCAGCCAGAGGAGATCAGACATCGCGGAATATTAATTTTGGATCCGATAAGAACGGTGGGTGCCATTCCTCTCTGTGATGGTACTTACCAGAGATCCCACGATGCATACATCATCCCACCAAATGTTCGTACGTCGCAGCTTCCTCGACACAAACCGCAGAATCACCAGGGCGGAGGCCAATACCACCAGAACGGTATTTGCGATGAGCTGGTTCCGCACGATTGGGATGGCAAAGATGCTGTAGTACTTCATCTTTACAAACAATCATATGGCTCAGCCTAGTTTGGACGAGAACTACATTGGGAAATTTTCATGAAAGACCGGGCAGAATAGTAATTATCGAGAGGCAGTGAGACAGTACATATTGGGAGCATCTTGTCAGAAGCTCAAAACTAGCCCGAGGCCGAACCGATCTAGATCATCCAAAAAAGACCTTAAAATTAGCCATGCTATGCGTAGTTAAGGCTAGCAGAATCTTCTCTAGTGGCGTGTGTCACGTCGTTATTCCAACGGCTTGAAAATTGCGGACACGAGTATATCTTGATTAAGCCAAGAGTCCTAAATAATAGGCTCATCCCGAGCCGGACGGCCTGTGCCTAAAATTTCCACTTCAGTTTAGATCCACCCAGCCGCCACGCCAAGCGGCAAGGTCCTGACAAGTTACCACATTATACAATCAAGGTCTTAGATTCGAATCCGCCCTGAAATAGGCTATTTTATTAGGTCAAATGGCTTAGAATCTAGAGTCCTTGTCTAAGTATCAGGGCTTAATAACAGAGGGGTGAGCTCGGATGGCACCCATGTTTAATGCGGAGACTGTATTGACTGCCAAGAGACTTCATAAGTTAGATTAGTCTTAGGGGCCTAATGTGCTACTATTAATCTAGCAACATTCACGGGTTCTAATGTTCAACGGGCCGGAAACTTAGTTAACATCCAATATATTGATCAGTGGATCTTTCCCCACTCCTGCGGCACAGTTGACGGAATCATGCTCTATACAAGCATTAATTATCTGGTGTCGGGATTCTGTCCGTACCTCCTGCACAACCCCTTGAAACAGTATCTTCTAAGATGGTCCAATCAGCCTATTCAGCCACATTGAAGGCGGCAGGCATATATGTAACTTACTGACAGTAACGTTAGCTCGACGCTCAGGCCGTTATCTAAATTATTGTTCCCTAGAAGTCAAACAATTATAGCGCAACAGTAAGTTAATAGCGATGCTGCCACGTCATGCTAGCTGGAGATAGTGAATCATTTTTTTCTTCCCCCCGAAAAGCTGGGTTCCCTTCCCCCCATGGCTGGTTTCTCATGCAAATTGTGCACCGCGGTCCCGTATATCCTGAGCATGACGTGACTTAATAGGTGCATTGCAGTTTGTACTATTGCTGTCAGTTAACCTGCTCCAAACCAGATAACGATTCTGGCCCTTTTTAAGGTGCCGTGTGGTCTGACAATTTGTGACAGACTTACCCATTACCATTCCACACCCCAGTTCTCCTCTTCAAGCTGTTTCAACTCCATTCACCTATTACAGGAGCATTATGGCCGATCATATTCCATCCACCTCATCTATTGAGGCTCTTAGTGTCCGTCAATTTGACTATATCGTCGTCGGCGGTGGCATCGGGGGCCTAGTAGTGGCCCGTCGCTTAAGTGATGATGCCACCAAGACAGTTCTGCTTATTGAAGCCGGCGCCAATCGTACGGGAGACGCCAGAATCGATACGCCTGGTTTCCTGGGCACTCTATACGGCGATCCCAACTATGACTGGGATTATATAAGTGAGCCTCAGGTGAGATGCCCGGGTTCCCCCAACAAAATTGTGCCGCGTGCTGGGGCTTCTAACAGGGGATGCGCAGAAACATGTCAATGGGAGGCAGATCCCACAACCACGAGGTAAGGTGCTTGGCGGTTCCAGTGCGATCAATTTCTCCGCCATTCTGTATCCCTACCGAAGAGATTTTGACTCATGGTCGGAGCTGGGGAACAAAGGATGGACAGCAGACGACCTTGCGCCATATCTACGCAAGTTTCATACCTACTCTGCACCTAGTTCCGAAACAGCCGCTCTCCTATCGCTGGACTATATGGATCCTAAGAGCCAAGGTGCCGATGGACCCCTCCCAGTGACTTTCCCCGATATCTACGGCCCATTAAACCAGTCTTGGCAGAAGACGTTTGATGTGTTGGGTTGGCAGTCAAATTCAGACGATCCCATTAAGGGAGAGAAGCACGGGGCCTTCGCATGTCCCTTGTCCATCGATCCCAAAACCAGGGCCCGCGCGTATGCAACGGCTTATTATAGCTCCGATGTGGCACGGAGGCCGAATCTGCAGTTGTTGACAGAGACACATGTGGAAAAAGTCCTTCTGAAAAAGGGAAGTGATGGTTCGATTTCGGCAACGGACGTGCAGGTGCTGACCAAGGAAGGAGAGCACCACCAGATCTCTGCCAGGAGAGAGGTCATCCTGTCTGCCGGCTCCATCAATACACCTCAGATCCTGGAGCTTTCAGGCATTGGACAAGAGGAGATTCTCAACAAACACGGTATTCCCGTCGTCATCAGCAATCCTAGGGTCGGAGAGAACCTGCAAGACCATTGCCTTGCCGCAGTCAGTTTTGAGATCGCCGATGGTCAAGCCTCAGGAGATCTCCTGCGAGATCCGAATTTACTGCAGTCTGCGATCAAATCGTATCAAGAGTCCCAGTCCGGTCCGCTCTGTGGCATGCCTCTAAGTATTGCATATCTGCCGCTAGTTGACCGAAATGGCATCGTGAGCAAGGATGTGGCCGAGAAGTTGGTGCAAGAACATTTGCATACACCCGCAGACCATCCCGGGATTAAGAGACAGTACGAGGTTCAGCGCCAGACATTTGTTGACGCGAAATCATCAACGGCTGAATATCTCTTCCTGCCAGCCCAACTCCGCATGCAGCAAGGGAAGACAACCATGGGTGAGCTACTCGCTCCAGCTCTTCCAGGCAACTATATCAGCATCCTCATCCTGAATAATCACCCCTTCTCGCGAGGATCGGTTCACATCCGCTCCGCCGATCCGCTGGCGAAGCCTGTCTTCGATCCTAACTATCTCTCTCAGCCGATCGACCTTGAGGTCCTGGCGCGCCACACACAGTATCTGGAGCAGATCGTCCAGACAGCCCCATTCTCGACTCTGCTGAAGAGCCCATCGAGTCGGATCCCTGAGGAGGCTGCCGCGGGCTTCGAAGACCTGGAACTGGCCAAGAAAGTTGTCAAGGACCGTCTCTTCACCTGTTTCCATCCGGCGGGGACCTGTGCCATGCTGCCCAAAGAGCTCGGCGGCGTGGTGAACGACCGGTTGGTCGTCCATGGGACAAAGAATCTGCGCGTTGTGGACGCGAGCGTCTTCCCCTTAGAGCCGACGGGAAATATCCAAGCGACCGTCTTTGCAGTTGCAGAGAAGGCGGCTGATCTGATCAAAGAGGACAACAAGAATTGAACCAAACCAGCATGTAGTTAACGAGCTCATATCCCATCACTTCATACATAAGCGAAGATATATCAGACTACTACCCAAATTAGGAAGTACAATAAAACAATGGCCGACAGAAGCAAAGTATGCCGTCATTCCGGACATATCGCTGCTGTCGTCCCGACGATATTAATATCAATATTACAATCAATGTCTGCGTCTACAATTGCGTGGCTTTCCCGTCAATTCTTCCCTTCTAGCTACTGTGCTTTCCTTCCATGACATAGCTTCGTATCAAACTCTACATAAGGTCGTTCACTATCACAATTGACTCTCGCAAAACTCAAGGACCTCTCTGAAGCTATGTGCGACAATCGGCCGGAAAGTTCCGTAGCGGCAAGGATGGCCTCTTGAAACAACAACTAAGTTAGTTTGTGATTGAGATGTTGACACACATGACACAGAGTCCATGCATGTGCTGAGTTCGGCGGGGGATGGCCAGGATGGCGTGGAGAAAATCGATCAAAGTGAGGCGCCGGGGAACCGGGAAGACGCGGCTCAATGTCACACTGGCTCGTGCGGCTTGTCTTTCCAGATCCTAGCCAGGGGTTAATTATAGCTAAGCTCTGACACCGTGTGCGATCGGCATCCTTGTTACTATTGCTATACACTACTTGAACAGGACGTCGTCGAGGAAATTCCTCGATCTGAGATGGGCTTCAGCATTAGCCTACCTACTTTTGGCAGGTGGTGTTGAAATAGCCAAGGTGAAAAGACCCCAAAATTGTGTGGAATTCTGCTAAGTATTGTGTATGAAAACAGTGAAAAAGAATATTCAGCATGATGGAAATGACGAAAAAGCGAGCGAAAAGAAGACAGCTAAACCATCATTACAGATATATTCGAGAGACGCCGTAGCCAGTCTACTATGACTCCCCTCTGCACCCGCGACTGGAAAGGGCATTTCTTCTGTGATAACCCAAAATCAGGAGCGACTCTGCAGCATGAGGCGCTTGAACGGCGCATCGAGAGGCAGATCGCGCGGGGCTTCATGACGCTCAAATTGGGTTTCTTTGATGAACGAAAGCACTGCCGCATCCACTTCAGCAGGATGGGAGGCACTTAGGAAATGCTGGCCACCCTGGATCACTTCGACAGTCGCCTTCGGAGATTGAGTGAACAGCTTGATTGTCTCTTGGGCGTTCGCAACCGAGTAAACTGGATCAGAAGTACCCTGCCGGAAATGAGCCTGTTGTACCTTCTTTCGAGGTAATAATGGGCAGACTTACGTGGAGCCAGAGGACAGAACACATCACATCGGCGAGTCTTCCGTGCAAACCGTCTCTATCGCTGAGATTGATCATAGACATCCGGGCCCTCTTTCTGCCATCATCATGTCGATAGTTCTCCTGAACCCCCTTGATCAGAGTCTGCCGGATGGTGGTATCGATTTCCCTTCCAAATCCCATGTCGATCAAGAGGTTGCAGAACTGCTCGGTGAGCTCAAAATCAGGGGCCGGAGCCTCAACGGTCAATTGATGGATGATCGGTTCTCCAATCGGTCTTACGTCCCAGCATCCGAGGTTTCGGGATCGTTCCGATTCGGAGTCCATAGACGTTCCCAGGGGAATGATTCCTTGGACCTAGATTCACACGGCGTGTTAGTCTAATGCACTCTAATCAAAAAGACGAACATGGGTTACCCACTCTGGTGGGAGCAAGCAAGGCGAGTCTGGCCGCAATCCAGCCCCCTTGACTGGTTCCAAGCGCATAGAACTTGCTAATGGTCAGGGCATCAAGAAGCTGGACCACCATGTAGGCCGAGTCCCAATAGGTATAGTTCTCGCATTTGGTGCGTGTCTGTCCATGGCCGAGTAGCTCCACCGCGATGAGATTCACGGCGTCCGCAAGCTCCTTGTCACCAAATTGAGGAAGGTACTGATCAGAGGTCGCCATAAACGAATGAATCATCAATAAAGTCGGCTTCTTCCGGTCATAGCCATGTGGCATCTGGTAAGCGACATCGATTCCACCGAGATGTGGCACGCGGAGAATCTGGACACCCATGTTCGGCTTGTTGGTTCGAAGTTTCACTTTAGTATAGTCCCTTTCTTGCCGGTCTCAATGTATCTATGAAGTATAGAGGTGTTCAGATAGCAAAGTAATGTACTTTTGCCCATGAAATCTTGCCCGCAGGACGGGGGTCGACAACAACTATAGTGAGATTTATACCACAAAACATGCCGTCAAAAGGGGGTGAACATGCCATGTGGCCGCCCATGTCAGCGCTTACACCAGATAACAAGCACAGACATGGACAAATTGAGTGCTGCCCGTTTGAAGTAATCGACTTTCTACCATATGCGCAATTCTGATCTTCCTCCGCCAAACTAATTAGGTGCATACTTGGGGTCACGCCAAGCGGGTCGCGTGGCGAGATACAGACTGACCACCTGCTCCGTACTCTCAGGACACTGGGAGATCATGGCATCGGGGGATGGAAGATGGGATAGGGACACATCCATGGGAACCAGGTGATGCACAGACGTAAACCTTGGTGGGATTCCGTATACTCCGTTTCATCTGGATTCGAGTTTGAGCCCCTCTACACCAAATGTGCATATAACAGCCCATGAGAGGACGGTCCTGGCCTCTTTTTTGTATCGTCCAAGCCCCCCTTAGTATATGGAATTAAGCCAACCGGCACCCAGGGAGGTCTGCGTGTCCCACGTACGTGGCGCTCAAAGTCAAAAGTACTCCCAATAATCGGGTCATGTTCTGGGAGGCATAAACCTTGAAAGCATTGCTCAAGAATAATAAAAAAAAAATCTCCAAGGAACAGGCTAACAATGCATGCTAGCTCCATTCAGCCAGAGCAGGTAATACATGCCCTTTATCCGGGATTTGGATCAGCCTTATTGGAGGGGAACGTGCTCATTATCCTGAGTTCTGAATTACCTCTAGGCACTTAATACATTTTCGGCGCATGCATCTCCGCACGTAGTCGCTTACGCCGCCGTCTGGCAGCCGATACTAGGTCCTGACAACCTCGTCTATCGTACTGGCGCGTCATCCCCATGTTTCCTACTGGGCATCACACTCGCAGGTCAATAGAAACTTGTAGACTAGCGAGGTTGGCACCATGCTAGGAGCTAGCGTCTCCTGCGATGTGGCGTTCTTTGAGAGGTTTTGGACCCATGCACGCTACATCTAACCGGGGATGGAAACCTACAGGGAATTTCATTAGACGTACTTCCGCACCTTCTGGCTTCACGCAAGATCTGTTCGGGAAATGTGATATACGAGCACTCTCCTGCATTTGAAGTGATGCCCCTGGAAGAGGAAGGCGACTTCCCTTGTCTCTGGATCCAGAACCGGGGAGATCATAGTATGCGATCAGATCCCTTGTCATGTATTTTGGCTGTAGATCCTAGAAAGTAGTCACGGTCTCGACACACACCCATCCAGCAGTTACTATGTTCTGCTTAGAGCGAGTACTCCTGGATCAATATGTGTCTTGAGATTCCTCTCTAGTAACCGGCGCACTGGGAATTCCATAAAGACGGCCAGTTTCTTCCCGCTCTCGTGGGTCGGTATAGTTGAGTGTCCGTGGAGCATCAAGTCAATAATAGTCATCATCCACTTCTCCTTTTACTTTCACCAGATTATACCTACGGCATAACGTTTGCTGTTTTCATTCACACAAGATGGGTTCTGCCGTCTCGTATCCGACCCACGCCGATGTCGTGATGAAGAATCAAGTCCTTGCCATTGACCTGACTTTCACGATTCTGGCTGTAATTAGTGTGGTATTTCGATTCTGGGCACGATTGAAGTCGGCAGCTGGTATTGGGTTGGACGATTGGTTGAGTCTTGGGGGTCTGGTCAGTTGAATTCTATCTTCGACCAGAAAGATTGGCACTGACCGTGTAACCACGATCCCAGTTGATATTATTTATCAATTTGGCGTTGAATCTTATCAGTAAGTTACACAAGTATATATTCTGTATGACTCTATCCACTAACTGCAAACACAGTGGTCGTAAACGGATTGGGACTGCAAGCATCAGAACTCACCGCGGGCAACCTGACATGGATAGCCAAGGTAAGGTGCCAGTCGAGGTTACACGAAACAAATCCACTGACATCAACAACGAAAGGCTATTTTCGGGGATGAGATCGTCTACATCGTCAACCTCGCCCTGATCAAAATCTCCATCCTCCTCATGTACTGCCGTGTCTTCGCACTCCGAAGATTCCGCGTTGGTGCATGGATCATCGGTATCATCACCTGTTGTTGGACGCTCATCTTCGTCTTTTTGATCTTGTTCCAATGCCATCCGATTGCGAAAGCCTGGGACCCGTTACTCTCCGGACATTGCTGGAACATGCGGGGTACATTCATCGGCAATGCGGTACCGAATATCGTCACCGATGTTGTGATCCTGGTAATGCCAATATACAACATATGGAAACTTCACATTCGAATGGTGCAGCGTATTTCTTTGCTTGGAATCTTCTTCTTGGGTTGTTTGTGAGTTATATCCCCTTCCCCCAGCGGGTAAGTATACACACCAGATTACTGACAGAGCATCGTCTAGCGTTATCGTCGCCAGTATCTACCGTCTTGTCCAGGTACTGCAACTGGACCAGAACAATCTTTCCTGTGAGACCCCTGCCTGCTTTATCTACGTATTCTACAATGTACACTTCCTTTCTAACGCACTCCAGATACCCTCAAAAACCCAACGACTTGGTCCCACGTCGAAGTCTCTACAGCCCTGATCAGTGCTTGCCTACCCACCATGCGACCACTCTTGACCAGCTTCATGAGAGTAATTGGAATGGGGAGCCAAGTCGGAACCAGCCATTCAGCCTCCCGAACTCCCGGTATCCCAGCAACTTACAGCGGAACCTTCCCTGCTCCATCAAAGTTCAAGGCGTGGCCTGAAGCGAAAAACATCTCTAACGACGAGATCCCACTCAATTCGATCAAAGTCGAGACCGACATGCAAGTTGTCGAGAGCGGCAACTGGCACCATGGCGTCTAAGTTTCAGGCAATGAATCGAAGTTATATTCACAGAGGCGGAATACGTTGCATTTATGTTTTTGGAATTGGCTTTACGCAAGTGCAAATAATAATTTATACCAGGAGGTCTATAATTCCCCATTGTCATTCCTTTCAACAACTAATTGCTGAGCATTTTTATGTACATTCGAGGCGGGAAATGTTGTTTTCAAAAATCACTGGTGGTTTCATTTTGTACAGGTACTTTGATTCAGCAAATTCAATTCTAAGTTTCAATTCTTCAAGTCGATTATTATCTCAATTGAGGCACTACTACAGTTTTCCGAAAAACAATAATTCTAACCGAAAGTCTATGCAACTAATACCGATGATTCGGTTTCCATATCCGGCCCGTACTTAGTGTACTCCGTAAACAAACTTGGAGATCTCATTATTATCCCGCCAGGCAACCGTTATCTGTCACACGCTAAACTGACCAGGGCGAGTCGAAGATCATCTCCTTGGAAGGTAAACAGTTAATTGACTTTCTGCGATTAGTAACGGTCAAATTTGACGGGCCTTTCCTATTCTCGCCCAGGGACAGTTTGCATATTTGGCATAGATAGGTAGATAGTCTAGTCTAGCTTCTCTGAACTGGCGCTAGGTTGACCGGGGCTTCTAGGCCCTTGGCGATAGTGTTAGTTTCCATTGCTTCGAAGAGCATAACGTGATGAGATGCAACATCACGGGTCTTAGCGTCGTCGCGGCGTTTAGAGTAGGACAAAAGTACTGGACAGTTGGACTGCAGTCTCCCTTAAGACCGGGAAATGAGAACTTTATTAATTGTGTGATAGCAAATCTTGTTGGTCTCTCACGATTTTCTTCAGGAAAAAATCTTATTTCGGTGAGGCGTTCTTGAAGAAGCCTATCGATCGACCGGGCCCAAGGAAGCGCTGTGGAACTGGATTCTTGTGGACACCTGTGATGTATATGTTGAATCACGGTGTTTAAGCGCTGGGATTCCTGCAGCAGCAAGCTCACCGCGATATTGGCCGGGTTGGACCATGACACGGGACAGGATTGTCCAACAACCCACGGCAACAGGAACACATGGGTATTATGCATCCTGCAAGACTAACTGGAAGTACTTCCGGACAACCCCGCCCTATAGGAATGAACAAGTACATAGCGCACTAGATGCTAGTTATTTGCCGCCTGCCATTGAGTATTATAAGCGGGCAATTTATAGGGCGTGTTTCCGCTTGAATTTGTGGCTTTCTAGGGAGAATTGGCCTTGATGATGCATGAGCGGGTAGAAAGAGGAGAATGGTTGGAGTGAAAGTCAGTATACTTTGTGCGACAGAGACAAAGGAAAGAAAAGGGAGGGTGGCACTTTTGCGCTCAGTTCGCAATTCTATGCATGTCCTTTGTCTTTGTGCTGCCGAGATCTCCAGCGCTAGACATGCTAAATGGGCAGAGACGCTGGTGCGACTATGTAATAATGCATTTATTGTTACGCTTGTTTAACAGCTGATCATCTTAGCGACATCTTTGTCTTTGCTAATACAGAGTGGTAGCTAAAAGGACTATAATAATTTGGGTATCATTGTAGGTCATGAAGGGCTAGAGTAACGGCACTCTGCGTACCGAGAGAATTGGACATTTAAGGGTGGAATCCTGCAAATGAAGGGAAAGTCAAGGTCAGCCCGCTGCTCAGTCACGAAGTGTTTCAAAAGAACTTACGATCCTCGTCCAGCAACGTCCGCTCCTTCCAGCTCTCTTCAACCCATCCAACAGTAACTAAGTGTGGCATCTTCCTACTTCCGATCTTCTTGGCCAGTGAACCCCGGAGGGCGGATAGCTCTGCAGCGGGAATTTCGGGAGACACAACAGCATGTGTCACCGTCATGTCCTCAATTGTGTCAACAACCTTAGCTCCTCCAAATCTTGCAAGATTGGTCGCCACGTGGAGGTGATATGCCTGACTGGCACCACTCTCTTTTTCGGGTAACACATTAGAGCCTCCATCATCAGAGGATCGGTTGAAGTATAATGTCAATCCTTTGAATAGCCAGCCACAAGGGACGGCAGCGTCCCCTGGGCTGCTTTCCTGCACCTGCACATCCAGTTGATCAAGTAACCTTGATATCTGCGATGACTTGACGTTTTCAGGTGTTTTCATTTGGTTGAATATCTACTCAAGAGTTATTGGTTTCTAATTCTTTCCTTGTCACCGCCGTGCTTACCTCTCTTAGCTCCTCAACCGAAGTATCACGGGCATAGCTATCTCCAAAAGCATCAATATTCTGAGCAATGGCCTCCTTTTCATCATCTTTGGTGAAAAACATGTGCCTAACAAAATATTAGCGCCAACAGCGTACGGTAGAGGTCTTTTACTGACCTTGGTTCTAAAGGCAAGATCAGATCGGATAGGCCGGTGTCAGCTTGATTCTGCTTGATACAGTCAAAGAGCCACTTCGGTCGGATGATGTTCTCTTTGCCTCCCTTTTGTATGGATGCCACTTTTACCGTTCCTGTGGTAGTGTCAGAACCACTGTGACGAACAAACAATAAGAAAGAACCCACGCACTCCGCTCAGCAATGCAAACGATATCGGATGCTACCGTGTTCGTTTGGTAGACCTTTCCGCCATTTGCTTTCACTAATTGTTCAAGTTCGACTTTTGATTTTTTCTCCGGCTCCGTAGATTCGGTAATGATGACTGCGGTGTGAGTCTTTGGCCAAATGTCAATCGAGATCTTTGAGTGAACATACAGAAATTCAGTCCATCGAACACCTTTCCTGATGGGCCCTGATACTTGAGCTCTGTTTCCGGACCATAGCCTGCAACTGTGAGAGGTTTCTTGGTTGTCCTTTTGACCCGTTTCCTGCGCGAGTTGTCGACCGTGAATTCCTTCTCTCTCCGTTCCTGCTCGACATTTGCTTTCAGATCCAGGAACTCTTGAACAGAGAGTGCACTCTTCCAGTCCTTATCCATGCGTAGCCTTTTGAATCGCGGGAATCGCAGTGTCAGACCGGCTCGGAAACTATCACTGACCGATACCGATGCGGCCTTCACGCAAAGAACGATGGATTCGTCTGGCCTGATCCACACATCAGGCTTCTCGAGCTGTGCATTTCCGCCTGCTAACTCGATAAATTCCGTCGGTGGCTTTTTAGGATCCCATTCTTTCCATTTTCCTTCCGTATGATGTCGGACGTTGGCGTAATCAGCAGCGGTAAAACCACCACCGACCTTACAGAAAGAGTAGCATTTTGGCAGGCCAGAGCTTCGGGAGTGAGTATCATCAACTCTTAGCCCACACAAGAAACTTGAGAGCCCACCGCCACGGCGACCAGAACCGTAGTATCCACCGATAACAACAACATCGAGGGATTCTCCGAACTCGGTCATATACTCTGGCTTCACTTTCATCCAATCATCATGGCGTTCATTAAGTCGATATGGTGATCTGGGATTCTTAAGCACCAATCCTTCAGAGGCCTCTTCAACGACTTTTCTCAGTAACGGCTCAATCTCTGCGGCACTTCTGGCCTCCTCGTATGGATGTATTTCAAATCTGCGATGCACAGGGTTTATGCTTTTTTGCAAGGCTGTTCGACGATCGCGGAGAGTATACCTTGTTAGATCTTGTCCGTTGAGATATAATATATCAAAAACCCGAAATAACGGCCGCGGCCCTGACGAGAAAGGGTTCCGTTGTTCTGATAAAGCCGCCGTCTTCAGAGTACCAAATGGAACAGGAGCATCTTGTTCAGGATCCCAAGTAATCATCTCACCATCCAGGATGATACTCTCCACACCATCCACAAATGCATCTTTCAGGTGTCTTGTCAAAGCACCATTCTCATCATATAGACCATTGCCATAAAGGTAAGTATAGTCTTTTGCCTTCCTCGACCAGAAACCAAATCTCCTTCCTCCTTGCACAGTGTCATCAGGTGCCATGTGTAATTGCATACGTTCGCCATCCAGTTTCTCTTCGATCCAAAATGTCGGGTCTTCTTCAGTGGGCCTCATCCGCTCTACCATCCGTTCGAATGAGTGCATCTGGAATTGTGCCAATTGGGGCTGGAAGCACTGCATAAGTGTCACACCTCTTTCATCTGCTTCGAGGCGAATATTCGGATCATGGAGCTCCCAGCACACACGACGCAGGCTGCTGGAGATACTAAACAAACTTTCTGCATCTGGATGCCAGACATCAAAAAGAGTCCGTTCCGTAGCACCGATTTTCATCTGCCGGAGGATCATTCGAATCAGCCACATCAGCTCCTCCGGGTTCATACGTCTGTAGAATTCCGCCAGGATGGGCAATTGCTGTTCTTCCTTGGAGGCCGCAGCGAGCTTGTCCAGTCTCTCGTTCACTTCTTCTATCAGCATGTTCCCGACCTCTGTCCTCATAGGTCTTTTCGAGATCACTTCGTAGCATCGGCCCGCAAAGTCACCTGCCATGCGACTCGCGGCCGACTGGCCGGGGATTTTCCAATTGAGCAGATTGAAGCCATCTTCGGAGTTCTTGTCAATTTTCATAATCTTCACGAGCAGCTTTCCGATGACTTTTTCCTTCAACCCATACATGGCTCTGTCGCGATCCTTCTCCGGGATAATCAACCGGAATGCGGGGTATATATCGTCTCCGACCTCCTTCCTCCATCGGGCGATAAAGCGCTCGATGACATCGCGTCGCCTCTCTTGTGGTGAAAGATTCTGGGCACTGTGGCCATGAGGTCCGGCTTTCCGACGTGCGGCAACAGGTCCTGTGGGCTTCTTCTTAAGTTCATTCAGCGGGTTAAAGAGAGTCTCGAAGAGCTCGTGGAAGGGTAGTGTCGGAGCGTGATTGTGAGGCCTATTGGGATATCTAGAAGGACAGGTACATCAATACCCATGAAGCCTGGATATGAACAATGGTAAAAAGTCTCTCCACTTACTGTTCATCTAGGTCCTTTTCCGCATCATGAGGCGGAGGAGCATCTGGGAGGTCGTCGGGCTCCGGAATCCCATCAGAAGACATTGCTTTGCTACTTGTTGAGCACCACTTTACTGAAGCTGTTTCAACTGATGTATTTGCAAGGATCAAAGAAAATGTCGTGATTCCATCAGCATAGCAATTATTATTTTATTCTATTTGAATTGATTTATTTCATCGAGAAGACGCGCAGCTCTAGGCACCAGCTCTGGAGACAACGAAAACGAATGCCTCAGGCGTGCACGGGCGGTGACATCAGGCCATCCATCTCTCCCTCGATGGCGGCCTGGGGCTTCCGCGCGGGTCCATCTACGTATCATGGCACCAGTGGCTTGCTGAATCAGGATGTGACTGACTTGTATACAACTTGTGGCCATCAGACACACGATCTCCCTTGAGAGCGTCCTTTGTCTTGTAATGTCTTCTTTCCGCGATGCCGTCGATGGGTTCTAGGAAGAGGGTGCAGCCAGAGCCTTCAGCCGCGGCCTCACAGTCCAGCTTGCCCGCCAGCGAACATTCCCCGCCATCTGAACCAGCCAGGGGCCGCTCAACTTCAGAGACACAGAGGAGTGGAGCGGTAAGTGTTCTGCATCGCCAGAGTAATAGTTGAGGCATACACTGATACACCTGTGTCTCCTGATAGAGCTGGTATACCAAGTCATGGCCCCGGGTCTCGAAGGCCGCGGCCGTTACCGAGGTTGCCCGTGAGAGCATATCGGTCGCTGGCAATGTAGCCTCAGACCTGGTTGCTTCCACAGCAACTCTGTCTAATCCTTCTCGACAATTCCGATCGCCATCCATCCGGTTGACAAAGAAAGACGGTGCGTCAAGCAGGTCACTTCCCGCGAGTGTCGCTACCACCCGTATCAATATTGCGTCGAATGGGCTAGAGTCAACACTAGATAGTCCCGACTCCCAGACGTCAGACCCAGCCACCAGTACGAAAGACAAGGAAGACAAGCCCGCAGACTCTACCGTGACTCCGAATAATACGATCAAAGAGCCCACGGGCTCTCCAAATCCCAACGAAGCGGACGGAACTACAACGAAAAGTCGCACTCCTACTGAGGCGGAAACGGCACAGCCGCAAGAACCGGAGCAAACGCAGTCATCGGGATGGTTTACATGGTGGTATAGGCCTGCACCAGTGGAGAACAACTCTGTCGATAATTCACAGTCAGCTGATGCTCCAGTCGTCCCATCTTCGGAAGAGCAGCCACCACCGGAGACAGAAGATAAGCAAGAGGACGGGCAGGCCAAGCAGGATACTACGCTGTCTGAACAAGCACATTCGGATGCAGCGACACAGTCAACAGCACATCCAACAGCAGCACAGAGGCGATCCTGGTTCCTGATGTGGAGTGGTTCTCCCGCACCGCCTAAGGCGCCTGCTGAGCAGGGACCCTCGGCGGAGCCTCGTCTGGCGACAGACCAAACTCCTGCAGAAGAAATCAATAATAAACCGCCGACAGATCCTTCTGAAAATGGTCGTTCCGAAAGTGTTGATTCTTCAGCACGTCAGCCCGACAATGCCAGGTCCTCAGGCTGGTCCTTCTGGTATAGAGATACGTCGAAGGACTCGAGTACCAAAAAGGCAGAGGAGGTTCAGGATGGGGATACGGCAGAAGCAGAATCAGCTGCTGCAAAGCAGTTGAAAGAGAACCAAGAACCTGTTCAGAAAGGACGAAGACCGCCTGCGAAACAGACAGTAAAAGGGCAACCGAAAGAGCGCGGCGAGCCTGCACCCACAGCAACTGTGATGTCCGTGCCAGAACAACCGGCAACGCTAACAAAGACCAAAGCTCCAGAAGGACCGGCCTCGAAGCAGCTGCAGAAAGCCATTCCCAATCAAGTGCTTCCTTCTTTCAGAGATACATTTGCGACAAAAGAATCTCCTTCATTGTTGCAGACCATTGGTCGTCAGACTATTGGTCGTATCTTCCAGTACTCGAAGGAGTCGGACAACAAGCATGTCTACGTCGTGAAGGAACCCCCGCGGATAAGGAAGGCTTTGGCCATCGGGGTACATGGATATTTCCCTGCTCCGCTGATACGGACTGTTCTCGGTCAACCGACCGGCACTTCCGTGAAGTTCTCCAACATGGCTGCAAAAGCTATTCGCCAATGGACGGAAAGCCATGGTTACTCCTGCGACGTGCAGAAGATTGCACTCGAAGGGGAAGGTCGTATCGCCGAGCGAGTGGACTTGCTTTGGAAACTGCTTCTAAATTGGATAGAAGAAATCCGGAAAGCAGACTTCGTCTTGATCGCATGCCATAGTCAGGGAGTTCCCGTGGCCACGATCTTGGTCTCCAAATTGATATCCTTCGGATGCCTGAACGCCCAACGCGTTGGAATATGTGCTATGGCAGGCGTGAACCTTGGCCCATTCCCGGATTACAAGTCAAGGTGGATCAGCGGCTCAGCAGGTGAACTCTTCGATTTTGCACACGCCAACAGCCAGGTCTCCCGGGACTACGAAGCAGCATTAGAATCTGCGCTCAACTATGGAGTGCGGATCTCGTATATTGGGAGCATCGATGATCAACTTGTGTCGCTAGAGGTAAGACCTAGTACTCGCTTCTAAATAGTGTGGAAGGGGCCATTGCTGATCTGGGCTAGTCATCTCTCTTTTCACCAATATCACATCCTTACATCTACCGCGCGGCGTTCGTGGACAGCAGAGTGCACGCCCCAAGCTTGTGAGCGATCCTTGTCTCCTTCTCCAGAGCTCCTACTGATACTCTACCAACAGTCTCTCTCATCTAGTCGGCTTCGCACTCAAGTTGCGCAACCTCGGAATCCCAGACCATGGCATAATTCGCGAATTGAGCTCACCGCTCGCCGGAAGTCTCTACGCCGGCGAAGGCCACTCTCGTCTCTACGAAGATGAAGCCGTCTACTAGTGAGTTTTTTCCGAAGTATAATCCTGAAGACTCCCCGCTAATCAGTGTAGTCTCGCTATTGAATTCGCCCTGGAGACATCCAACGTGAGCGGTGCAGCCCTCCGTATCCAAAGGCCTCCCCAGTCACCAACCCCGAATCCTTATATTCTGCCCTTCGCCATGCGTGGCCTCCTCGAAGAAGAATATGTCCGACGGGAACTGTACCAAGAGACCATGGAACTCCTTAAACAGTTCGACGACTGGAAGCCCTCCAGCAAGGTACTCAAGGATGTCAAGTTTCGACTTGAGGGCATTCGCTCAAAACTTTGATCTCATCTCTGTTATCCCGAAAGCGAACCGTTGCGGGGAAAACGCAAAATCCACTTATCGCTGATTCGCGATGTTCCACTGCATTGTCCATCATTCCTTCTTTCCTTTTTTTGTCCCGTCGGAGATATCCGAAAGCATTAGAACATTAGCTACGGCGTCCGTTGGTCTGTCTTTTTCGAAGTTCTTCGCTGGAAATTTGCTCTCATTTTCGGATCTTTGGAAATAATTGGAGCGGCGGTGTTGGATACTGGCACATAGATAATACTTTCTCTACTAGATACATTTTTCACCTAATATATATGTAAATTGAGACAGATTCTTCTTGAATGGTAAATTGTCGCGTATCTATTGAAAGTCATGTAATAGAGAAGTAGGATTTACGCGTTCGCAAGATCTTCCCGGAAGGCTCTCACCAGCAATATGACTAGCTACTATCACGACATGGAGAAACGTATACCTCCGTCGTCAGATCTCATGGAATGCGAACAGCAAGCCCACTTCAGAAATTTGTGGCCTGGATTAAGGCTTTGGATAATTCTCGGAGTTCGAATACAGTTATCAAGAGCACAACCTGCGCTAGATATAGATGTAAAACTGAACCAGCTGCTCTGGCGATCGTTTCGGTTGCTGTCCAGTGAAGAATATCTAGACAGTCGCAGGCGCTGTTTCTCTATTTTGCGTATATAGGATGGCCAGGGAGCCTGGGTGCTTCGTGAACGAGGGGAGTCCCGAGATTGCCTTTTGGCGGTTGGCGCCCAGCCAGATAAAGGGTTAATGAAATAGGAGGCGACTTCTCTTCCTGCTCCTTCTCGCCTTCTCTACGCTGCTGTAGAGCATGAACGAGTAATAATTGACTAAACTCTCCTATGCCGGGAGCGAGCCTTTTCTCAATGTACTGTACACCATTCGTGTCGCGCTATGAAGAGATTCTATTTCCGCTATTTCTGTATTAGCACATTGATCCAATAGGAATGTTGTAATGTACTTATCTGGGGAACCTCCGTAGAGCCTCGACCAGCTCTGCTCATCTTTTTGCTCCCACAGGCTTTCGCGGGTGTCCGACATTCGTCTAAAGACATTAGTTCTCGAGTATGAAACTCGTAGGAAAGTGTGCATTCTAGTAGCGGTTACTCCCATATTAGCTAAGCTATATAACTGCTGATTCTACCTGAAACTGAAGTGGCTGTTTTCGAGGTGGAAGTTACAGCGATGCGGCAATACTTATGGGATGTGAGCCCGGCGGCCGGTTGGCGGTCCCAATCATGCCTCTTCCCTTCACAGCGCACCTTAACTAGTCCTCAGCTCGAAAGGCAGTTCACCCCGAAAACCTCTCAAGTGATAGGCATTGACTCTCCTATTGCCCGCTCAGCGAAGTCCATCAAGCATGAAGAGATACAGAACGAATTCTGGGAAACGCGCAGCTTGCCAGCAGTCAGTTATTCTTTCTGCGCTTCCAGGAGACAAGGCAGGTTTCTCGCATCAATTAGGTGATGAAAGTTTAAACAACAATACGGAAACTGAATATTTTCATAAAATACCACCGCTTCATGAAGCTGATGATGGCGGTTTGGTTTCTGATGCTTCACTCCAGAAATCGGGCTTTTTGAGCTACTATGGAGATGAGCCTCTCACAGGAGGTGAAGATATAGTACAACATAGGTACCCGCCAGAAACATGTTATTCCAGCAGTGGCATCAACTTCCAAGAGCAGGAGCACGACTGGTGCTCTCCCCGCTCTCCCTTAGGTAGGCCGCTTGGACAGGAAAACGATAACGGTTGCTTTCACTCTAACAGATACAAAAGACAATAAACAAAGGCTGGATATTCCGATATTTGAACAAGATATTCCATACACAAACTCTGCGTATGAATACAAGCAGTGCACCTATACTGATAGCAATGGCAACCTCGAGAACACGATTTCCAGTCATTGTTTCTCTGCAGCGAAGCAAGGGGATATGGAAACCGAAGCAAATGATTCAGATCATTTCAGTTCCGATATCGAAGACGCTGATTTTCTGGAGGCTATCCATGGTCAGACCGAAGCCTACAACTTTTGTCCTGGGGAACTCACAACAGACGCTGCCCCGGTTATGGGCGCGACAGATGAAGTCGAGCATGAACTCAAGCTTCATGAATCAGCAGAGATGGTCTACATGGAGCTCAAAGAATACTTCACAGACGACTCAGACGAACTTTCCTTGGATGCCGACATTACTCCATCTCAGCTAATAAGTGCTGAAGGCTCGGGGGAAGTCACATATGACGATAACTGTTCCCAGTATGCTGATGCGGCCATCTTTGACGATCAATTTCAAGATGCCCCTACATTTGGTGAGTTCCACAATGATTTAGAGGCCTATGGTCATCATTCTAATCCCAGTCTTCGATTTAAGTAGGACACTTGCAAGACTACCAGGCTGGATGTCCTCCCAAATATGGACAGTATGAGTCAAGTGAAATCAAACATGACACTATCTCGGAAGGAAACACTACTTTCTATTCAAATAATGATTCAAATGGACCGATGGCGTCTCAAGATGACTCAATGACGGAAAATAAACCCGCTGGCGAAACTGATAGAGTAGACCTCATCCGGCATGGCCCGCTCCCAAAGTACAAACAGCCCTTCCAGTTTCCTGGGAAATGCAACGGTTCTCCTGTATCAAATGCGAAATTGGGACCCTTTCCCGGTCCTCAAGATGAGGTCAGGGAGCTGCGACAGCCTTTTCTTCGCCCACCGTTTCCTTGTCCTGTCCCCATCGGCTCTCCGATACAAGGCCTGACTTCTGCTCATACAATTCTTCGCACATGTTTTCGAATCGGGGAGGCACTAAAGGTGCATTTTACGCGGCCCTCCTCTTCCCCTTTATGTCCACGTTCCACAAATGAGCTCATGGAAAAGAGGAGCCAGAAAGCCAATATGTCGGCCAGTATTCCCTCTACAGCATTTATGCTTATTGAGCTCTATGCATTTGTTACCGAATCCTATCGCATAAGGAATAAGCAATTTTTCAAATTCGCAGACTTGTTCTTTCCATTCCAACCACCTTATCTGTCGGGTGTATGGGAATGCTGGGAAGGCAACCCACTGTATGATGAGGATGGCAGACGTTTCCTTGGACCATGTGGTAGACAATGGAGGCGTGGTATTAATGTCCCTCCAATCCAGCTTGTTCATGCCGACTCCGCAAACGATTTCAACGATGATGCAGCAGGCCAAGGCTCAGCTGGAAGATTATGCAGGGTAATCGGGAGCTTGAAGAGTAGGGACCATGCACTACAGGTTAAGCCAGATGAATTGCTACCAGGATCAGTGCTCCCATTCATGGAGATCTATAGCATATGGCATGCTACATGGGAAGATGTCGACTATGTGAAAGGAATTGTCCAGGAATAGGACGAGATGTTCCGAAAAGTGCTTGTTTACCTAATTTATGATTGTCCTCAGTGCGATCACGAGAAAACTACGATAATTATTTGTATCTCTATGCATATTATTGAATCGGCGATCAGTTCAAGATTGCTAGCTGTCTTCGACATCTTCGTTGTATGGAGGTATTATTACTATTTACATCCAAACCAAGAGACGTCGGACCACACTCGGGCATAGCGGAAATCAAAGCGTGCCGATTGGCCTGCAGCGCTCGGGCATTCCCGCATTCCGAACGCCGACAGAAAAGCATCCGATTGAGATTCCCTTGAAGTTGCGATTCAACTCTCCTTGAATTGGCGGTCAGTTTCGTCCAAGGGAGACTCTAGGGAGTGTCCGGTTGTCGTCGCAATGGCGTCTTTTAGGACGCCTGTCCCTATGTTCAGGAGCCTTGCTCCCCGCGTTGCGAAGGACTTCTTCACCTGTCGACAATGCTTACAGAACCAACGCAATGCGACGAACCCTTTCCGCGCACGCTTTTTCACATCTCTTCCGCTCTCCAATAGCAGCAGGGTCAATTCGATCCTCCCTGTAAAGAAGACCAATATCTTCGCATCGTCACTGAGGCCCAAGCGACTGTCTACGGTAGCCGCCACGGTAGAGCAAAGTACTTCTTCCAAGGCTACATCGAGCTTCCCGGACGTAAGCTCGAAGAGTGTGGCATATTGGCTCTTAGGAAGTGCCGTTAGCGTATTCGGAATTGTCGTGTTTGGTGGATTGACCAGACTTACGGAATCAGGGTATGTCCGCTCTAGAAAGTGCCTGCCCTGGCCAAAAACTGACAACCTTGTAGACTGAGTATCACAGAATGGCGCCCCGTTACCGGATCACTACCTCCTATGAACGCTGAAGATTGGGAATCAGAGTTTAGCAAATACCGTTCGTCACCTGAGTTCAAGCTTCTGAACCCGCACATGACACTGGACGAGTTCAAGTCGATTTACTACATGGAATGGATACACCGTCTCTGGGGCAGATTCGTCGGTCTGTCTTTTGTGCTCCCGGCTGCATACTTTGTGGCAAAGAAAAAGGTTTCCAAGCCAATGGCTCTGCGCCTGGCCGGAATTGCTGGTTTGATCGGTTTTCAGGGCTTCATTGGATGGTGGATGGTGAAATCTGGTTTGAAAGATGACCTCTTCGCGCCAGGCAGTCATCCCAGAGTCAGCCAATACCGTCTGACTGCTCACCTTGCCGCTGCATTTACCTGCTACGTCGCGATGCTTTGGAACGGTCTTGCTATTCTGAGGTCTCACAGGCTATTGAAGGACCCGCAAGCTGGAATTGATACTCTCAATGCTCTCCGCGACCCGAAGCTTGGCGTTTTCCGCAAATCGGTTGCTGGACTGGCTCTTCTCGTCTTCACAACTGCCATGTCTGGTGCTCTTGTTGCTGGTCTGGATGCTGGTCTCATCTACAACGAGTTCCCTTGGATGGGCAATGGCATCACTCCTCCGAAGTCCGAGTTGTTTGATGAGCACTATTCGCGTCTCTCTGACAGGTCCGACCTGTGGTGGAGAAACATGCTCGAGAACCCGTCGCTTGTCCAGCTTGATCACCGTATCCTCGCAATGACCACCTTTTCTGCTGTTATGGCGCTCTGGGCCTATTCCAAGACGCCAGCTATGAAACGAGTTCTTCCTCCAGCAGCCAGAAAGGGTGTCCACGGAGTTGTTGCCTTTGCTGTCATGCAGGTCACTCTTGGAATCTCGACGCTGCTCTATCTCGTACCTACGCATCTTGCTTCAGCACACCAGGCTGGTAGTTTGTTCCTTCTCAGCTGGGTATTGGTCCTGGGCAGCCGCATTTGGCATCCGTCAAGGACTGCTCGACTTCTACAGATGGCGGCCAAGGCTAGAAACCAGCAGCTGTCGAGATCGGCTATAAACGCTGCAAACAAGTCATGAGCCGTCTTTCTTGAATGTATTAATACACGATTTGTTCCTCGTATTGGAGGCATTCCCCTTGGTGACACCTCTATGTCCACCCTTGTACAATCTCCTCTTTTGCTTTTTCTTGGCCTTATGAAGTGTCGGAAGCGACGATACACTCTTCGAAACATGTATAATAGATCTTCAACTCAGGTCCTCAACATGAAGTGATGTGTTCCTGCTGTCTCTATGTGCCAAACTATTTTTTCAAAGCATCTGAAGCTTGGTGCTACGTTCTACAGAATTCGTTCCAGCAGGGTGAGCAAACTGAACAGGAAATAGAATTTGATCTGGAGATGAACTAATGCTTCACATATCTTCAGCTAAAAAGCAAACAAATCCACACCTGTGAGATGGCAGACAAATCTTTTGAGCAGAGAAAAAAAAAAAAAAAAAAAAAAGGGGGGGGGGGGGGGGGGGGGGGGGGGGGAAGCAAAGGTATATACCATGATGCGAGACAAAAAGAAGCGACGATTGCAAAACGAAAGCGCCGCTTGAACAACACAGCCTGATACCAGTCCAACCGGAAACTCTATCAAACAAGAGGCGCAGATCCTGCTGCCCCGCTAGGGCCCCCTCTGTCCTGATCATCTCGTCGCCTCTTGTGTCCTTGGGCCCCTTTGGCACCACTGTTGTCTCCTCGTCTAAGGCGCGCGGTAGCCCTTGAACGACCACGCCCACGCCCACGCGTGCTCCGGGCCGTGTGGCGTCCTCTCGGGGTTGGGGTCGGCGGTGCATCCTGCATCTCTATATCGTCAGTGGCTTCAGCACTGCTTCTTTCGAGAACTTCAGTCGCCGCTTCAGCTAGGTACCAAAGCCCTAGTTCGCCAGCTGACCGGGGACCCTGCAGCTGACGTGAAGGCGTACTGGCAGGCGCCGCCGGTGTATTAGGCTCAACGACGTTTCCCGGCCCTTGTGAGGCTTCTGACTCTGTCTCATCTGCGTCTCCCCTGGTAGCATACTCGTTTTCTGCCTCCGTCTCCTCCTGAATAGGAGAGGGCACAGCCAGCTGTGGCTCCTGATAATTGCGACGCTGGCGAGGTCTCAGTACGCGGGCAAATTGCATTCCCTCCAAAATGAGGGCAGCTTGAAGGGTTTCTACCTCTTCATCCGCTTCCGCCTGAGCAGTAACAGCTGGAGTATCTCCGCGCTGGCCGTTATCATAGCTAGCTCCTTCAGATGGCTGCTGATTCTGGTCCGGGGAGTTGAAGACATCTCCCCGGAAGGGACGACGAGTTCCGTGCCTCCCATCACCTCCGCGTGCATCCCAGCAGGGAGTGCAGATCTGCCATCCGCAAGTGGCGCAACGGCGAAGAATCGAAGTGTTGTGACGATTGCAGATATCACACTTGGCTGTATGGATCGTTACCGTTACAAACCTTGTATGGGGAGCTGCTGGTAGGTTTCTCTGAGTTTGGGGTGTAGTAGTAGGAGGACGGAGAGTAAGAGGGTTGACTCGCTGGGTCGTCGTGGGGTTTGGGAGAGGAGTGGCCGGGAACGCCGGGGGAGCAGTGGTGGTCAATGAGGTGTTGGTCTGTTGTCTGGGAAATCCTGCGCCTCTTTGAGTGTGCTGCACTTGAGGCAGCGCTTGTCCATGTCCTTGTGGTTGTGCCTGTATCTGTGTCTGGCCACGGCCACGACTAGCTGCACGACCAGCCGCACGATGCTGAGCACTAACCCTGCTTACCAGGGAATGCGTGTTAGGATAAGGGTATTGGGAGCCCCCTCGTTGTCCAGGGGCATTTGATCTTCCTCCTCCTTGGAGTTGCCTTCCGCCACGTCTTTCAGACATCTTGGCTAGTTTCGATGATGATATATCTGAAAAACACCAATATCCCACTTCTCCTTTTCACAGTTAGTCACCTTTGTGAATAGCAGATCTGTCTTCAGGATACCCGTCTATAATAGATATAGATCTCAACAAGTAAACACCCCAAAACCAATCCACGATCTCGAAACCGTATCAGTACTTCTCCTTCTCACAAGATTCAGAAAAAACAAATAGTCAAACAAGAAGATCAAAAATGAGGACCAGAGATAGAGATAGAGATCAGAACATAACCAACCCTCTTCTGACTTGAATCGATCGTCTTGTATTTCCATATGAAAAAATGATATCGAGTAGCACACTCCTCGAAAAACCAACTCGCTCCATCTTATACCCCAAGTCTCTGACTCAACTGATGCGGTTCATTCCCTCGAAAACGCGCCCAGTCAATAATACATCTTTGTTTCTTACCCATAGATATTCGGATTTGGGGCTGTGATCATTCACTTTCTTTGAGGGTCATGTCACTTGTTTACCTACTTTGTCATTCCTTAAAGACTTTGTCATGGATGTATGGGGATTCATTGTGCGGATTAGTTAGTTGTATGTAGTACAAAGGCTCTTTTTTCAGAGAGGGAAGATATAATTATCAATTATTGTTGAAGTTGTTCAACAATGGGAAAGAAGGGTGCTGGTTATTGCTTTGTGGTATACTATATCTGGAGTATCCAGGGCTTTGTTGTAGAACTTTGTTCTGTTTTAGTGTTTTCTCGGAAATGAGAGCTTATTTCGCATTCTTGGCTAGAATGGAATGAATGGGCATTGCTATTCTTTGGTACGCTTTGTGTAGAACAAGGCTTTGTTGCTTCATATAGTACCATAAGTGATACGTTAGGTAGTTATGGAAGACAGACTGTTATGATGCGCTGGGAGTTATGGTATCAGCGTTATAGGGTATGGGGAAACAATTACTTGGGAGCCAAGACTTGGTCATCAGTTTTTCATTTCGCAGGTCAGTCATATACATGTCCTGTAAGCTTACTTGCTGTGTTCTCTACATAGTAGCAAGTTCTAATGATGTAACTTGGGACGAATTTGAATTGCCGTATAGATTTCTGTTCGTTTCAACGAAAATGATTCTGATTTATTTTGGTACAATGGTTTAGTATATAAATTGGAGGTAGATTTATGTCAAGTCAATCTCGATTTCAATTCTAATGAAAAATGAGAAAAAAGTCCTTTCGTACCCAGATATACTGTGTTATTCTTTTTTAGGTATTTACGCATGCCATACCCCCCTTTAAAAAAATCATAATCCATACAACATGATCGTGAATATCAGGGAGCATCAAGATCTGTTTTTTCGTTCATTGCTTATTTGTGGGCTGGTGGAATATTGTTAGTTCGAGAGGTCAATGTGAATGGGCTCGAGATGACTCACGGATGCCTTCCTCAGGCTTGGGCTCAACACCAACAACTTCAGCGGCCAGCTTCTCGCCCTCCTTTGCAGTCTTGTCCTCCTTCATGAAGGGGAACGCAAGAACCTCCTTGATAGTGTAGTTATCCGTCAGGAACATGACCAGACGGTCAATACCCATACCCCAGCCTCCGGTTGGGGGCAGACCGTATTCCAAGCTGGTACAGAAGTTCTCATCGATCAGCTGGGCCTCGTCATCACCCGCGGCCTTCTGCTTGGCCTGCTCCTCGAAACGAAGACGCTGGTCGAATGGGTCGTTCAACTCAGTGTAGGCGTTGACGATCTCCTTCTTGCAGACGAAGGCCTCAAAACGCTCGCACAGACCGCGGTGCTCGCGGTGGTACTTGGCCAGAGGAGACATCATCTGGGGGTGGCCGGTGATGAAAGTCGGGTTGACGCAGGTCTCCTCGATGAACTCGCCGACAAGCTTGTCGAGCATTCTGGCATTGGTGAGAGGAGGCGGGCAGTCGACCCCGGTCTTCTTCAGGATCCTCTTGAGGAACTCATTCGTCTCCTCAGTGTGCAGCTGATCACCCGGAGGGAACTTCTCGCCAGTGGCCTCCTCGAGAGCCGGAATCATCTCGACGCGTCTCCAGGGAGCCTTCCAGTTGACGTTGTACACCTCACCACTCTGGGTGTGGAAAGTGGTCTCGTAGCCACCAGTGATGTGCTTCACCAGGCCAGAAACAAGCTCCTCGGTGAGGTTCATGACATCGTAGACATCAGCGTAGGCCCAGTAGAACTCGCAAGTAGTGAACTCAGGGTTGTGAGTGAGGTCAATGCCCTCATTCCGGAATTGACGACCCAACTCATAGACACGCTCCAGACCACCGACAATCAGCATCTTGAGGTACAATTCAGGCGCAACACGCATAAACAGGTTCATGTCGAGCTCGTTGTGGTGAGTAATGAAAGGCTTGGCCGTGGCACCACCAGCAATGGCGTTCATCATGGGCGTCTCGACTTCGATGAAGTCACGGCTATCGAAGAAGTTACGAATATAGGTGATCATCTTGGATCGGGTAACGAAGACATTACGCGACTTGTCGTTCATGATCAGGTCCAGATAACGCTGGCGGTATCGCTGCTCCTGGTCACGCAGACCGTAGTGCTCCGAGGGAATAGCGTGCAAGCAGGGTGCCAGGAGGACAACCTCCCGAGCGAAGATAGAGAGCTCTCCATCAGGTCTGTTCTTCGGGTTGCTTCGTCCGGGGAAACCGGCGATACCGATGATATCTCCTCTTCTCAAGTGCTCGTGCTGGGCCTCGAAGTCGCCCTGGGCGTTCTGGGCCTGGCAGACGACCTGCACCTTGACACCCTCCGCGCGGACATCGTAGAAAATCAACTTGTTACCCTGGGCACGCTTGGTGTAGATTCTTCCAGCGATGCGCACTTCCACATCAGGCTTCTGTTCACCCTTGGCGAGGCCCTCGTAGTCCTTGAGGTACTGTCGCAGGTCTACGGTGACCTGGAACTTGTGCGGGTAAGGGTCGGGGTTCTTGGTCTCTCGGAGCTTGTTGATCTTCTGGCTTCGAATCTCGAAGTATTGCTATCATTGTCCATACACGTGAGCCTTTCTGCGCGCAAGACGATACAATCACGATGCGGGGTAGTTCAAGTCTTACGTTGGGGGAGAGATTGCTCTCCGCCTCCTCCTCAGAAATCTTCTTCTCAGCCTTGGGAGGGGCAGCAGCTTCCTTCTCCTTCTTCTTGGCCTCCTTCTCTCTGAGCTTCTGGCGTCTCTTCAGTTCGGTCTTGGAGACCTTTTCGCCGGTGACCTCGTCGAGGAGGAGGTTGGCCATGGAGGCCTCAGCCTCCTTAACTCCGGAATCCGCCATGATGAATTAGAGTCCGCTCTGGGCGTCGCAACAGAAACCAGAACAGTCGTATCGGAGACGTGGGGGAGTGGTGAAAAGCGTGAGCGGGGGAGGTTCTGTCCGAAGTTTTTGGGCGGACCGCAGAACCACTCTGCAGTATGCCCGACTGCGGCGAAAAAAATGTCTAGGACAACGCTTCCGTCCCCGGCACGGAAACAGCACTTCTATCCAAATAATCGACCAATTCTACATGTATCTATAACATAGCTCTGTCTACAGGTTGATGCAGGAATCTTACTTGCTACGCGTCCAGCGTCGAACGCCTACAACGTCCATACTGTGCTTGAGTTAGGGCTTAGGGTATAGGGTAGCAAATGAGGGGCAGACTGCCCCGCTACAGGCTATTATCTTCGCCTGGAAAACGCCCGTAGCGACTGTATATACCTAGGTAGTATATCATGGTTTATGAACTCTCCATTCCATTGTTGTGCCATGTGCGCCGGCGACACCGGCTTTTTCAAAGCAATAAAATGACCTCCCAACTAATCTACAGCCTGAACATGTGAGCTGCGTACCTAACAGGGTCCCATCACATTGGCCGGACACGAGGAAAGCCAACAACAGCTGTTTCTCAACCATCCATGATCATCATTCACCAACGAGACAATAATCAACAGTTATCCATACCGACTGTGCATCCATATTATCCAGTACAAGGCGCAAATCTAGGCATGGCTGTCGGTCTTTATGATCCTATCATACCCGATTGAAACAGAACGTCCGAAGAGATCGGCATCACCTCCCTCCTTCTTAGCTGAAGCAAGCCACTCTTGAGCCTTGGTCAACTTTTCTCTCTCCCTGACCAGGTATTGACGACGGCGTTGGTGCACTGGATCCTCTGCCATGAGTTCCATGCAGCGTTCCATAGCTAGTATATCCTCTCATATTAGCTATTGACGGCTCCCAAACAGGCGAGGAAGATGTAGGATGTACATACCATTACCGTCAAAGATTGACAGCTCATTTTCGATAACCGAGACAAGTTCCTCACGGCACTTAAAGAACAGCTTTGTATGCACACTTTGACAAATAGAATCGACAAAACGAGAACTGGCGATGTCGTAGTATCCTCTGACGCTCTATATATATATGTTCTCAGATGACTATCGGACCTCTTTGGAGAGATAAAGATTTCACTTACGGCCATCATTTTGACTTCCTGGGCAAACTCATCCGGTCCCATCTCAGACTCGTTGCTGATTAACTTCCGGATCTCCACGTTTCGCTTCTGGTCATCAACCGCATTTCCGTGGAAAAGACGCAGGTACAGCCTAGCTCTGGCTTCCCGCCGGCGAGCAACGAAGTACTCGAGAACTTCCTTAGTCGCCTGGGTCAAAGCAGAAGTGGCCATCGTGAATGGCTTGTGTCTCTCGATGTTATAGATCTCCTGGGCGTGACGCAAATGTTCCTCCTTCAGACCATTCAAGTAAATAAGAATGATACGCTCGAGCACTTTGGGCAACGCGGTCTGCTGATACTGCGCAAAGACATGCTTCACTTGCTCCATCAAGGTGTCCCTCACAAGTTTATGCGAGACAACGAGGAACACATTCATGGGTTTATCCCAGTGCTGTACACTGATGCGGTTCATCATCTCAATTGCTTTCGGATCGGTCTGGCCAGGGATACCAGTTGGATAGGAGTCACGATTGATCTCACGAATCTCTTCCCACGTAAAGTTTTTCGCAGGACCTGCAACGACATTAGCCTAACGGTGGACGAGCATTTCTTGTTTTGCGACCTACCACTGAAATACTCAAAATGCGACGTTGTGTAGTTGGTCGTTTTAGCACGCGGATTTCCTCTATTATCGACCGGTCTAGAGCCCCCTGGAGTCTTGCGCTTCCCTTGAGGATTGACTGATGCACGAATAGAGACCATTTCACATTCAGAGTCATCTTCAAATGATGGCTGGGTCTTGAAAGACTCGTTCTCGCTGATAAGCGTAGCAGCTGGGCGCGTGACTGTGATTGCTTCCTTAAAGTCCTGGGCAAGTTGGCCCCAGATCTTCTGCATAGGATAATTCGAGGATCCGCCATCGATATGGTGACGAATTCGTTCTTTCAGAAGATTCAACTTGCCGCATAGGACATATGGTAGATTTTCAGAAGGCGGGTCGGGCAGCATCTCAAGTTCAGCATCAATTCTTTCCGCCTTCTCATCGATCTGCTGAATGACCTGCGGTAAGCATCCCTGGATTTGCTCCAAAAGAAGACCAGACAAGGCTGTTTGCAGTCTTCTGACTCCGAACCGCTCACTATATGGGGCCAAGACAGTAGACCACGGGTGATTATTGAAGAACAGAGCCTCTTCGTCGCGGGCCTGGGAGTGCTCGACACTGGCATCTGGATTGTTTCTCACGACGTAATAGCCGTGTCCGAGCTCGAACTTTTTGCCTTCTAGAATTTCCATCCACTGATCAAGCGACTCGCCGCTCTGGACGCGATCAGGTTTTGTAAGAACACCTAGGGTTCTAGATTTAGCGCCTGGGATGTGTCGCACGATTCTAGCAGCGCTCGAATTCATCGCATCGTCTGTCATTGGTAAAGTGAGGAGGACAATGCAGTTGTCCTGCGAGATGTACTCTTTGACGAGATTCTCGACAAGCGTGACCAAGTAACTCTCTTCATCGAATTCCGCTTGATTGATCACGCCGGGGAGATCGTAGAACGAAAGATTCGGAAATCCAGGTGCTGATATATCGAGACGTACGAGATTAGGAGAAAACTTCACCTCGCTCCCGGTCCCATCGTCGAGGTCTCCTTCGGGTTGGAAATCTGAAGACGGGCGTCCAGGATTCAGGATCGCAAGTTGCGCGAGCTTGATAGCTCTCTGAAGGAGAGATTTGTCACTCAGAACATGGAACACTTCATCCTCTTGTATCTTTTCCGTCCATGGACCCAGAGACCTGGTCGGCACATTCATGTACTTTCCAGAGGGTGTGTACGCATACTTCCGCGAGAGAATGACCCGGCATTGCCACAGTTTGTCCGGTTCACTTTCAGAGAGATTAATCTCCATAGGGCAACGAGTACAGGTGCCAGCACTTCTTGGTACTTTGATCTCACTCATCCCTTCGATGAGAGAGCTCTTTCCCGTGCTCTGGTCGCCGACAACACAGATCTTAGGCAGAGCGATCTTGTTGTCTTCGATCCCCAGATGACGAAGGTCCTGTATCTTCTGGACCAGAGGCCTCATATCCTGAGATATGAGCGCGATGGAGTCAGTGACATCCGCGCCATTTCTCTGAGTAGCCGTAGTTTCGCTGCTCGACCAAGTATTGGGCATCGTAACTGCTACAATTAGCATTTTACGATGAATAGAAGAAACAACCGAAGTGTTGTGGCCACTTACATGATGGAGATAATTTCACCCCTGGGGTTCCGGGACTTTCTGCAGGCGACATGACGAGATGCACTCCCTTCAAGATGAGAGATGATGACAGAAAGCAAGATAGAAAACAAGAAAGCTAAGAAGAAATGTGGTAGGGTCTCAGGAGAGACTCGAGTAATCTCCGCACTCGACAACCACAAATGTCCTTGATAGAATACAACAAACTGAAACAGTGATATCAGTGGCAAGCACGACGAATTCAAGTTTCTGATTAGTTAGACAAATAATATCTAGAGCATATGAGAAACGAGGGACTGTCTGGAGATCAGGAGAACTGAAGGGGAGTGAGTGAGTTAGGGATGAGCCTCTGAAGAGGATGGTGTTTTGGGGTGGTTGGGTATTGAGAAGGAAGAGACAAAGAAAAACGAAAGGTGAGTAGAGAAGTGAAAGTTCATTTATAAGTCGAGGGTGAAATTTTCGAATTACATTGTTTCTCCTGTTAGAATGGACTGTTTGTGGTGATCCGTGAAGCTTTACGGACTGCAACCAACACTTTGTGCTGGAGCCCGCCAAATGTGGTGAGGGACATACAACTCTGGCGGCATATTCCTGCTGGACTAACAGCACCACGCAGGTCCCTTCGCTGCAGACCGTGAAGATGTAGACCAATCAGACATTGAATCCTCAGGTGAGTGCTTCCAAAAGTAGAATCGAGGTGTCATTAGTTTACAATCTTTCAGATTTGCATGTTGCTGAAGACTGCGCCTGCGTAAGGATAGCTGGGCATATGTGAAGGGTAGTGGGCGAGATGATATCCATTATCTCACTTGCGTTATTTCTTGACTCTCGAGGTGAGTATAGTATGCTTGCCCTGCTCAAATATCAAGAAGAGTTCTTCGTTATGCCCATTTTCTTCCAGATACTTGTAGTCTGCGATCTGTTTGCGGCCAGTTCATGAGTAAGAGGCCATGAAGACAAGCACCGAAGTCCACCAGAGTAATACTTGGTTAACGAATTCAACATTACCAATCTGATGTTCTAGAAGCACATATACCGATCTTTCAACCCTATTATTGTAGACATGAACAAGAGAGCCAAATAGACGTTCACCGCTGCGGCGTCAGTAAGGTTAAGCGACCGCGGAGCATTCCTGGCAAAGGAGGATCGAGCCATGGATGATGGGTCCCGTTGCGGGCAGCTCGACGCTTAAGCTGATCTGGAACGGCTTCGTGGCCACCTCGATCTGCCAGCGTTCTACACAAATAATAAAACAAACATTCCTCCATTCCAGTCTGCACAGCCGGAATTTCGTTTCTTGAGGCTGTGCCTGCTACCTCATAAATACCCCTCGTCCATCTCATCCCGCGCGCACTCCGCAATACCGCCTCCATGCTCCAGGTGCCGATTCGGGAGCATAACAGCAACATGGCCTCCACCAAGGCCGTGGTCCTAGTATGCGTTCTTGCTTCTCTCCGCGCTGAACAACGGGCTAATGCAATTGTATTCTAGGTCGGAGGACCCTCCAGAGGAACTCGTTTCAGACCGCTCTCGCTAGATGTACCAAAGGTACAGTACCCCGCTGTTTTACCCCCGCGCTCATGAGGCACACATTACTTACACCAGAGCATGGTGTCTATAGCCCCTATTCGAGGTCGCCGGCCACCCCATCATCTACCATTGCCTCAAGGCTGTTGCGAAGGTCCCTGGACTCCGGGAAGTTATTTTGATCGGTTACTATGACGAGACCGTCTTCCGTGATTTCATCAAGGACTCTTCCAAGGAGTTCCCTCAGTTGAAGATCCAATATCTGCGAGAATACACCGCGCTGGGAACCGCTGGCGGTCTCTACCACTTCCGCGATGCCATCTTGAAAGGCAAGCCGGAACGCTTCTTCGTATTGAATGCAGATGTCTGCTGTTCGTTCCCGCTGTTGGATATGCTGAAGCTGTTTGAGGAGAAGGATGCGGAGGCTGTCATTCTGGGCACGAGAGTCAGCAACGATGCTGCAACCAACTTTGGCTGCATTGTCTCCGACTCCCACACAAAGCGCGTTCTGCACTACGTCGAGAAGCCGGAATCGCACATCTCCAACCTGATCAATTGCGGTGTTTACCTGTTCGCGACAGAGTGCATCTTCCCTTCGATCCGCAGTGCTATCAAGAGGCGTACAACGCGGCCCCGCTTCGTCTCCTACCCTTCATCAGAGAACCTCTCCTCGTCGTTCATGGCCGAGGAGGAGGAGGGTGAGAAGAGTGAGGTCCTGCGTCTAGAGCAGGACATCCTCTCCGATCTCGCAGACAGCAACCGCTTCTTTGTTCACGAGACGAGGGACTTCTGGCGACAGATCAAGACGGCCGGCTCCGCTGTGCCAGCCAATGCTCTTTACCTCCAGAAGGCCTTCCAGGCACAGTCTGAAGAGCTCACTCCTCCATCCGCCAACATCCTGCCGCCTGTCTTCATCCACCCCACAGCCACCGTCGACCCAACCGCCAAGCTCGGCCCCAACGTCTCCATTGGACCCCGTGCCGTCGTCGGTGCCGGTGCCCGTATCAAGGAGTCTATCGTTCTCGAGGATGCCGAGATCAAGCACGACGCCTGCGTCCTGTACTCCATCATCGGCTGGAGCAGTCGTGTAGGCGCATGGGCTCGTGTCGAGGGCACCCCAACTCCCGTCGGAAGCCACTCAACCAGCATCATCAAGAACGGCGTCAAGGTCCAGAGCATCACTATCCTGGGCAAGGAGTGCGCTGTAGGCGACGAAGTGCGCGTCCAGAATTGCGTCTGCTTGCCATACAAGGAGCTGAAGAGGGTACGTACTCGCTATACCTAACCTCTTCTTCTTTTCCACCTAACCCAACCCCCTTTTGAGATATACTAACATCGAACTGTATAGGACGTTGCCAATGAGGTCATCATGTGATTTTATCGCATATTTAGCGTTATTATATCCCACCGTCATCTTCTCGCAATTTAATCTAGATCAGTGCCCTACCTAGTAGCTTAAATCTCTCTCGTGATGCTAAGTACGGATTTACAAATTCAAAAAAATGGAATATTATCTCAGATCAAAATCTTAATATCTAAGAACACAATGGACGGGGAAATCCCAATGTACTTTATCGTTATTATGGATAAGATCTCAACGAATATTTGGGTGATCATTGACTTCATTCAATTTTCGATCTCCATTCCACTATCTAGTGCTAGGCTATCTGAAAACGGTGCCTTGAGACCGCCCAAAAAAAAAAGGATTAGAGGCAAATGTTCCTCCCAACAACGCCGACTAGATGCCGATATCTCCACCTTTCTGTGTACTATATAACAGTACTATCTTCCGTTGAAATTCGCCAAATCCAACGCCGTAATATCCACTTCTTTTTACACCCCCCTAACGGGAAAGGCAGAGGTCCGACCAGGAACCGACAAAATAAACCAAAAGGAGGGTCATATCGTCGTAAATTGTCGACCAGCGCAGGTTCATAAATTCAAACAAAATGAGACGGAAATGACACAAGAACGATGGTGCTTGGAAAGAAAAAAGGACAGGATGCACGCGTGGCGTTTATCCTTTATCGGTACATCCCCGGATCATACCGTGTCTGCTCCGGCGGTTGCGTGTAGCCTGCGTAGCCTCCGTATGGGTTGTAGTTTCCGTAGTACGCATTGGGCTGTGTCGCTTCACCACGCGTGGAAACATGCTCGTAGTAGTCCTGTGCCTCCCCTGCGTGGTACTGTTCAAGGGAAGCAGCATAAGTGGGCTGCTGCGTCCGACCCTGGTACTGCGGCTGGGGCTTAGGTCGATTGGTGCCGAAGGCATTGTACGCATCCGTGGATGGATCGTTGGTGTTGGTACTTGAGGCACTACTGATGCGCTTGTCAACCTTGACATCTGCCAGAGCAGTGTCGGAGACCATGGGGTCGTATCTGTCCCGATCGTGCTGGCGGCGACGAGCGACGATGTCAAGAACGACTGCCGACAGCTGCGCAACGAAGGCAGTCACCGTGAAGGTGAACAAGACTTTGTAGACGCGGCAGACCATGATCCCAGTCTCGGTACCCCAATTGGAGGTGTCACAGGTGGTCATGAGCGTACCGGACATGCTCCAACCAAGCAGCCCGAGGGAGCTAGTCCACAGCATGAACAGAACAAAGTTAAAGAAAAGAGACCAGAGAGGCGGTACGCCACTGCAGCAGTGGATGCAAGAGGTGAACACGAAATTGATGAGTGTGAGAACGGTCGTTATCGTGATCTGGAAGTATGAGGTGTTAGCTACTATTCGCAACTTCATTTTGTTCACAAGTAATTGCATGTCCAGCATAAGGGACGCGATACTCACCACAAGGAACGCCCATGGTAGTCTGAAGCCATCTTGGTGCAGGTGGTAGATAAAGAAGCCCATGATTCCGCCTACGATCAATGTAGATACCACGCTGCAGAAGCGGATGACATGAAATGGCGCTTTCGGATAGAACGTCGACCTTGATCTCAACCCCATCTTTGCAGATGTTCTTTGCTCCTCACTCTATGCTTGCGTTGAAAAGACAGCTCGAATCGTTGAGCCTGGTTCGAACTGGTTCTGGGAATTGACCGCGCGGCGTGTTTGATGTAGATAGATTGCGTTTGGGATGCAACAGAAGGCCAGCCTGCTGAGAGGTGGAACGATAATGCAAGCAAGTTAATTGGAAAAACCAACCTGGGCAGGGAATCAGAAAAAGAAAAAGAAATACTAAAAGGATAAATAATAACCAGAGAAACGAGCGAGAAAGAGAGGCGCTGTCGTGGAGATGTCTGATGGCTGGTCCCTTGTTTGTCTCAGCCAGGATGCGTCGATCGCCCTGAGCCACCACCCGTGTTGCCAAAGAAAGATCCTCGACCCGCTGCGACGCCCCGGAAACCACGACAATCTTCTCCAATTGGTAGTTGCATACGGTAATCTAGTATGGTACGTCAGCTTCCATTGATAAAAATTCGCTTGTCTGGTTGAAATAATTCTTTTTTTCTTATTTGTGGTCCCCTGGAGTACGTAGACTGTCGGCGACTTGGAAGAGTCACTTACTGTACCTAGTTAACTGTGCTTCCTGCTCTGTCGGGACTGATTTGGTAAATTTGATGATCCTGCGACAGTGGGTGCGGCACACCTCGATCCTTCTGCGGCACCACCATCTACCGTACTTTGCGCTTCTGGTAGTAGTCCAGGGAGTCAATCTATTTAAAGCAAAAGGGACTAATTATCTGGAGGTAACACCTAGCATCATAAGTGTAGTAGCACCTTGCCCTTCTCAGTAGAAAAGCAGCCAGATAGTTACAGGGATTACTTTATATATTCGGGTCCGACAATGTTCTGGTTGTGACACAGAACCCATCTCAAGTTTCTCACCAGAAGATACAGAGAGCGATTCTGCAATAACTTGCAATGTCGAATATATTCCGACATTGTTACTGTCCGGTTTCTAATTAAATAGAGTAGCAAATAGAAGAATAATAATCTCGACTGTCCAGTCGCATTAACTATCTTGCCCGAGTGGAACCTCCCCGAAAGCTTGCCCAGAACCAGTGCAACGCGCATCCATATTTCTGCCTCCGCAACGGCTTATCGATACAGTAGTCTTTCTTTTCCCTAGAACATTGCCCGCGTCCACCTTAAGTTGCAACTCTTGATCAAGACGAGGACAAGCCAGCTTTCTTCCATTTTCGCGATTCTCTATATCCTACTCTGTGCCAGGGTTGCTTCTTCAGGGAGAGGGGCACAGTCCGTACCCCGCGTATCGCATCGCGTTTTCCAAGCAGGCAAGATCCAGCCGCAAGATGGCTACATATGAAAGTATGGATTTTCCAATCCTTTTACACTCTCTAATTGATTATCTACGCCATAGAACAATAGCAGAATCACTAACCCAGAATCACAGTCGAGCACAATACCACCGACATCTCGTCGCAACCTACCTCCCGACCCCGCCGTCCCGATCTCTCCACCTTCTTCGCGACTCTAAATGAAATAACCCCCAATCCAGCAGAGTCACGGACGAGACAGCATGCCGTCCCAGTTCCCGGAGATGTGAGCGCCGCCTTTCGCACGCTGGCAGAGGCGTTCGATGTCATGAGACGGGAGCACGAGATTGGTGATCACGGCAACCCAGCCGCAGGAGAGGGACAGGAGGATGGCAACGGACTATTGACGCAGATGATTCAGGCGTTGCTACAGGGGGCAGAAATGCCACCCAAGGAAGTTGAGGGCGTGAGTGAGCAGTTTTGCGATGGTACGTGCGCGTGTGATTTCCTTTTTCTTTTCTGCTTCGATAGGTACACTGTGGGTGAATTTATTTAACTAACTTTATATATTATTGATTTGTCTAGATCTCGATCGCATCCCTCGAAAATCCCTCACTTCGTCGCAGACCTGTCCGATTTGTAATAATCCCTTCCTTGATGACCCTTACCCGCTCGTCGTCCGCTTGCCCTGCCATCCTACGCATCTCTTCGACCTCGAATGTATACGGCCATGGCTGCGTCTGCGCGGTTCTTGTCCTCTGGACCGGACAGATTTTGGCAAGAAGGAGCGCGAGCGCGAGGCAGAGCGGAGAAAACTGGCAGAGAAGCTGGCGGCTGAGGAGGATGAGGATGATTTGGACGGGATGTATGGTTAGAATGGGCGGCGTGTCGATTATAAAGGAGATATGATTGGGGAGGTCTCTCTGAGCACTGCATAACATGGTGTTCGTTTTGCATCAGGCGACATGGCGTTGGTCGAGTAGTGGTTATAGTTATCGAACCTAGGGGATGAGGGGGTTGTGAAATGAGTTTATTTAACGGTTTCCATGACATCTTGTCTCGTCTTCTCTCTGATTGATTCATTTCATACTCTATACACATCTATGTCATGCACACGTGACGATGATACCCGCCTTGAAATCAGACATGAAAACTTTTGGGTCATTATCTTTTGAGCGTTGGGATCATTTCGTGTCAGACTCAACAACCCTATCCTTGGGTTTGAGAGCCAGCTTGCCAGTCTGATCAATCACGGCCTCCAATCCACTCCTCTCCAGCACGCCATTCTCATCCTTGGCAACTTCCCGAGCTTCCAGCTCCTCAACCAGCTTCTGATTCTCACGGTTGCCTTCCAGGAGGAACTTCAGGCACATGACTGCATGTTCCTTGATGTAAGGGTTATGAGCATCAAAAGCTGTGCAGGAAAGAATCGTCTCGACACCGCCATGCTTGCGAATCTGATTCTGAACCTCAGGGCACTTCCACACCAATGATGAAAGCACCAAGACGACCAGCTTCTTGAGATTTCTCCACTCGAATTCGGACGGATCCTCGGTGATGGGTGGTGACTCGGCACCAGAGCCTGCACTGGCGGCGCCCGTGTCTATAGGGTCCGAATCGGTAGGGTCATAGGGGCGTTCTACAGCCACAGGGCCGGGAGATGATGCTGTCTGCTCGGAATCTCTAGCAGCATTATTGCGAGCAGCGGCGGCAGCGTTGGCGGCAGCAGATAGAGACGTAAGGCTGCCCTTGGGGATACTGGCTTCCAACTCCTTGATCAAAGTTACAAGGTCATAGACGATTTCCCACTTGACCAACAGATTCTTCCAGTCGTTGTTTTCAGTAAGGACGGCGAAGAATTCCAGGAATTGATAAACGCCCTCGTAAACTCTTTCCATATCCCATAGATTGAGAGGGAAGTCCTCGGGCAAGGCACGGCCAGCGCGGATCTGGCCTTGGAGATAGATGAGTGCGCAAGTTTCTGGGATGATGTTCCCCCGGAAAATAGTGAATATGTAGCGCACTGTGAGGACGTCGACTCGTGTCAGGGGCACTGGACTTTTAACAGTGCTCGACTGCGCTGATCCAGTAACGGAAGCGGGAGAGTACCTGGCCCTGAAGATATGCGTGAGGATCTTGATGACAACAGCTTGAGCCGGAGAAATGATGTCTTTGGGCTGGCCAAAGTCGGAATACGCGTGAGACATTAAGCCGTTCTTCAGCACGGCATCCATGATCTGAACCATCATCTTAAAGTAGAACTCATCATCTGGAAGGTCCCAGGCAGCGATGAAGATCAGAAGCTCTCGAAGGAGATTTCGACCAGTCTCCTGTGTCAGGAGTATATGACACCTGACAGCTTGCATGTTCCTACCACCAGTTCTTTCACCACCCTTGAGGCCAAAGCTGTCGACTATACCGGCTTGAATGATCATGGGGAGTGCTTCGATTTCAGCAGGGCCAAGCACCAAGGGAATATCCGTCAGCAGGCCACGCTGCTGATCGCCAGGACGGCCCCTGTAGTCATCGTCATCGTCTTCGTCTTCCTCCTCCTCTTCCTCCATGCTTCCCTCTCCCATAGCGTCCAAGCTGCGCGAGTCGTCTTCTGGGTGGCCACCGTCCGTTCCATCGTAGTGCTGATCCCCTTCTACAATAGGCGATGTCTCTTGCAAGCGTGCCATAAGCTCATCCTTCGCTTCCTGAAGGGTCTCTGCGGCAGACTGGGCTGAACGTGGCATGCTAGTATCCTCTTCCATCACCGCAGCGTCGCCTGCTGCAAGAGCACCGAACTCATCTAGATCTGGGAGATCACTCCAGCATGTGCGTGGAAAACCTGCTGTAGAACTGCGATCGATGCTGATAATGGGCTTCTTCCGAGGCTCTTCGTCTTCAGGTAGTGCAGGAGGTAAATCTTGGGCCCTTTCTTTGAGATCCGACCACCCATCGACCTTCGCGCCAAGTATAGCAGTAAGAGCAGCTCTGATTTCCTTGACTTGTTCGGGGTCCTTGCCCATTTCCTGGATCTCCATCAGATCTCGTCCTAGTAACTTCTCCATATGATCCTTGATGTTTGCGAGAAGCAACATGGCAGCTTCCTCCTTGATGGTCGCTGGCTCTCGCGGAAAATTGGAGATGGTCTCCAGCAACAGGTCTTCCGCGGTCTGATCGTAAAGAGCCCTAATTGGAGGATTGACGATTCTTTCACCTGTTCTGACGACAGGTGCGACTCCCTTAGGAGGGCTTGTTGTCGGATCGAGAGGTTCCTTGGGCATTATGATCTTGGAATCGCCCGTCGAATGATAGCCGAAAAGATCGAGCCATAGAACCATCTTACGCTGCTCATTATGCATGATAAAATTGTGCAAGAACTGCAAGCATGTGATCAGCAGCCGCTTGTAGAGGTTGACCACCTTCTGCCATCGTTCTTCATTCCTCGCATTTGTCTCTCCATCGAAACCTCGCGCCGTTACCCTGACACATGTGTCTATAAGTGACAATATCCGTTGATCAAATCCTTTCTCCGCCGCTAAATTTTGGGCTTTCTTTGTAGTGGCAAGAAGGTTGCGCGCGATAGTGCATAGATCATTTAGTCGTTCTATGTCCTTGACTAGGGAAAAGTAATTGTATGCTATGAGGTTCGAAGAGGAGTGGTCGTAATTTGCCGACGGTGGACTCTTCCATGCGAAAGATTGTGACTCGAGGACAGGAATGGCTTTTGTCAACACATCGGTAAGACCCTGCCATATGTCAGGCGACAAGCCAAGATTTTGTCTTGAAGAAAGATATGTCAGTCTAAGATCTTAGAATTGTAGGGTCACGAGAAGAAGTGCGTACCTAACATCGCTCTCTTGGTGACTCTTGTACAGAATTTGCTTTCCCGCCGAGAGCATGTGCTCTAGCCGCTTGTCGTCAATCATTCCACGGGTCTCATAGTGGCTCAAAGTACCGGCCAAGATGACCTTGAGCATTAGCTCAGCCGGTGTACATTTTGGCTTTGCTTCCACAGTAGCCTGGTCCGCCATTCTGACCGTGTCCTGCAGGGCGTTCACAAGCAGTGTCGCAGGAGGCGCAGTTGTTGAAGCGTTAGTGGAGAGGCGTAAACGATTCTATGAAAAGGCCGATCAGTGGAGTCGAGGGGTCCTGCTCTTCCTGGATTTTTTTCCGCTCCGACGGGAAGCTTTGGGGTGTTGTGATTGGACGGGACCGCTAGCTACAGCTTATGAGAATACCTACTATCGTGTTTCTATGGTCTCGTCGTCTGCGATTGTAAAAGAATGTCTGCTATATGTGGAAATAGTATTTAGATCAGAAACATATATACAAGATGTCTGATGTCACAAGAGCTTCAATACATCCTGCAGATTTCCCCAGAATCCCAAGTCATAGATATTTTCCACCTCAGCAAGGCTGCTTATTCGAACCCACCTAGGATCGACGGGTGCATTCTGGTCATCCGGTTGAATGACTGAATTCGATCGTGAGGATAGCATGTATCCCGCTTTCGGTGATTCACCATCCGTGATAGCCAACAGCTGATCACTGTGCGCAGGCCAGGATGTACGGGGCGCAGGAGACTCATTTTCCGGTCCAGGTTCCCCATAGATCTCACTTCTTTTGGCCTTGAAAACAAAGCCATCTTCTATATCGTCTCTCCAGTATCCCCACTTCGCGTTCTCGTTCGTTGTCATTCCGGCCCAGATCAGATAGAGATGGTATAAGAAAAATCCAACAGCGAGAGGCGCCGTCATCAGCGCCAGGAGGAATATAGCACCGATGCGAATGTCCTCCAATATAACCGATCCCCATATATTGAAGAACGCTGACCAACTAACGTTCTTGCTCCAGTGCCCCGTGGATCCTGTGATCGGTGGCATGATTTCTTGTAGAGTTCCATCCAAAAGGGTGTAACCCAAGTACACGCCGTACAATAAGAGAACTGATGTTGATACCAAAAGTGACATGAAGTAATGGTAGTTGTGTCGGCCGACGCAGTTAGTTAACCATATGCAGTGGTGATCATGTCTGGAGATACACGCATTGCAGATCCTGCAGTGTTTGCTTCGAGGTGGCTTGGGAAGGTGACAGGTCCGACATAGATGCCCTGGATGAAACAGAACTCGATCGTAAGGATAGTGCGTCATTTCCCTGTCGAGATTCTCTTTTGTGACGAACGATTTTGTTACGACGCAGGCATACAAGCTAAGATATGGCAGTGTGATGGCTATCATTACACACAGCCGATGCGCTATGGTAAGTTTCGGCCACGCCTTTGGGACAAACATACACTCCGATCCTGACAGTAGGGCAATAAAGAATATCTGTTTTCTTTATGTCAGCAGAACTTTCGATTGGTACAGCTATGTTGAGCCGAATTCGCTGACCAAGACCAATGGATGATTCTCTCGTAGTAAGTACCTGCCAGACCTACGCCAGAATCGCAAGAATCGGCCGCCCAGTAAAGAAGAATCCACATAGGCAATCCCACTGGGAAGATAAACCCAGATGATTTTGTAGAGGAAACCGACTGGCGTCTTCCTACAGAAGCGTGTAAGATTCCGTATCGACTAATTGATGAATGGCCATGGATAACCTACTTTAAAGCAGGGAGTCGCCCAAAAAGAGCGACAAACGTCGCAAAGGATATCGCCAGAACGATCAGAGCTACATTTCGCAGAGTTCCCATGTTTGAGTTTCGGATGCGATTCCCCTGAGTTCGCAAACGAGCAGCGCAGGTTACCAGTCGTTCTGCATCCTGACAAGGTGGGACCAAAAATGAACTGCCAAATATACCAGGTATCGCAGGAAGGAGTCGGCCAGTGAGTGATTTAATCTCCTGGTTAAGCGACGCGGAGTCGCTTTTCGTCTCGCGCCGCGAGTCTCCCTTTCCAAGCGCTAAAGAGGCATTAATTGGCCCGTGCACGTGATGGTCATATTGAAGGACCATCGACTTTCTCAACGATCAACTTTTCTGTCCCATCAACAATCCTTATAAAGAGAATACTGAAGAGCTTTCCAGATAGGATTTAATTTGAGAACTCAGACTATAAACCACGCCAATTTTTCCCTCATGAACGTACAGTCTACGGCTCGCGAGGCACGTGCAACGCGTTTGAAGACCACCCCCTAAAAACAAAGACCACGGCTCCTTAGTTTTGCCAGAAACAGTCCAGCTATTGTTATAAATCGGTCTGGTAAGATTGAGCTGGGGCTTTGCCAGGATGTCTGCAAATATTGTCTATAAAAGTGCCCCGCCAGATGGCAGGCCGGGTACTCTTTTTGAAGGGAAGAAATTCTGGCTATCCTACAACGTTCCACAAAGGAGCAGATTCAGAGAACTCATTCAGGTGATAAAAATCATTCTTTTACAGTCGGCTTTGATCTAACTGCTGCTAGTGGAATGGCGGCTTTGTAGTACCGTTAGAAAAAGATGCTGATGTTAAATTGGTCGACTACGTGAAAAGGGATGCCCCTCCAGACAGGTAGGTGTTCTTTCCATATTATGATTCTTGATCACAGCTTAGCATCATTCTAGCTTTTCATATCGATATATCGAAAGATGTATTCGAGCTGGACATCATGTGAGCCTTGAGGCCCATCGGGTTGGCCCAGCTGAACCCAAGTCTCGTCCTACAGGTGCCTCTCATATTCCGCCAAGAGCACACAGGAAACAATTTACGAAGGAGGATGACGAGATTCTCTTGGCATGGGTCCAGGATTCTATAGCAAAAGGCCTTGCCACTGCAGGAAACAAAATCTACGAGACTCTGGCACAGCAGGTACGTAGCCCAGCTCAAGCAACTACTTCCCATGGCGTGAAGCTGACAAGAGTAGCATCCACAACACACCTCTCAGTCATGGAGAAATCGCTATGTAAAGAACTTCCGCGGACAGGGGCTCTCTACAGCACTGTCTTCCGGAACTAAACGTGTCTCCACGTCTGAAGATGCAAATAGAACTACTTCCTCGGAAAGCGCCCCCATGAGAGAGCAGTCGGAGTCTTCTAGAAGTGGCGAAGTTTCCAAGTCCCCACGGGGAGAGGCAGCGCAGGAAGGGTCTCACAGCGCTCCTAAACCAGCTAGAAGCCGTCATCTGAATCCGTCGCAACATGCCCCGAGTACGCCTGTGGACCAACAAGAACAGGTACCACTGAGGAGCCCGTATCATACTCCAACCCTGCCTCAAAGGCCGCCCGGTCATGGCCAGGAGCCACCGCGCGCAGTACGTTCGGGCATGGTCCCCAATCCCAATGGGGTCGGGCAACGGACGCAGCAGGATGCGACGCGCATAGAAGAGCAAGTGCGAAAAAGAAGACGGATATCCCTTGATATCCCAACATTCGACCCAGATCACCAGCCAGAGCGTAAACGGAGAGTGACTGATTACGACCCAAGGTTGTTACCATCGACTCCTATCCAGCCTCCCGTAGAAGCAGAAAAGGCAGAAGAAAGGCCAGCTCCAGACACTACAGATGATGAGACACAGTCTGAGGATCGGTTCGAAACCGCGCCGCAGTTCGACACCCAACGGCCGTCGCAACCCGACGATAATCTACTTCGGGAACTGCCTTTTCTCCCATCCAGCCCATCCGAAGAAGAAGAAACTCAGGAGCGCCAAGAAGAGGTTATCAACGAAATTGACCAATGGATCAAGGCGCGCGTAAGGACAGGCAAGGCACAGAACGAGCAGCAGGTCAAAGAGGCATTGCGGTGTACAACCATGAGCCCTGACCTAGCGGATGTCGTTCTGAAATATCTAGTGAAAGGAAAAGGCATTCCTCAGAACATGCGCGGGGTATGGACTCCTGAGGATGACAGCCGCCTGCAGAACTCGAATGCCAGAGAGATGGAGCGTTCGATTGAAAAGCACGGTATGGAACTTGCGAAAATGAGGAAAAAGTATCTTCGAATGGCCCAGGGCGCTTAGGTAGCTTATCAGCGTTGGACCATATGGATAATGTACATACAGTTAACAACTACTTGGTACCATAAACTATGATGAGGATCCCGCAGATGTCTGAAAAGCCTACGCTACGAAGTCAAAACGGATAATGGAATAAATGCATTGCCCTTCTTCTTTTCCGATTAAAAACATGAATAATGTCGATTATGACGAGCGGCCCATCAGCTCGAGTGACTTACGGGAGAAGGATCCTTCGGAAGTCACCATAGACATACTAGAAATAGCGGGAAGGAGCATTGATGGAACAGGAAATACTGGCCAAACACCTATCCCTTGCGGATACAACCTTGAGCAGATACAAATAGGACTAAGGGACAATCCAAAAAGAGAAAGGAACAATGTAGAAGGAAAATGTTGCGCGAATTAACTAAATCGAGACCCTCTTAGATGAATGTTGGAACCGCACACTGAATAAAGGAAATTGTCCATTGACATTTGTTGTTATGAATAGTGATTCAGCCTTCTTTGAAGACCCTGGTAAATCGTCAGTACCAAGCATACTATACACTTGAGGTAATCATCACTTACAGATGTTGTTCATAGAACCGGAGCATCTGGCGGAGAGTTAGTTTCCAGTGCACAGCGACCATTAGCGAATTGATGCAGCAAGCTTACCTTCATTGGGCATTTCTCGTAACACTGCTCTATTGACACTCGTGATTTCTTGCCATTGTTCCAGTGGAGATAGGCCATCAGACTGCCCGTGTCCGGGTCGCGCATAATGGTGTCGACCTTGAGGATGTCCTTTTCCCAGTTCTTGCTCTTAGGTACCCAATCGGGCACATCATCGTTTTCCTCTGATGCAGCTGGCTCTGCGCTGGCTGTTCCTCGCGACTTCCTTGGCTTCTTCTGGGTCGCCTTCTCAGGTGTAGCCTTTGCCTCGTTCAATGACTTTCTCTTTCTCGATGGCTTCTCAGGTCTTCCGCCGAGTTTGGCGTAATACTCATCCACTGCTTCTTTGGCACCATCCCTGCAGGCTAATTGTTAGCCAAACCGGCGCCGGCGTCTTTGAGGCCATGAATTGCATACAGTAGGTTCTCTTCCGGTTCCAACGTCTGATCTTCTGGTTTGTCATATCCTTTCCACTTCACGTGCAAGAATAAGGTCTGCCGAAGCGGTCAGTGAACGGTCTCTGGGTGTGGATTCTTCTGCGCCTGCTCACGTCTTTCTTGTACTCGTGTCCCATGATCTTCTCGACGACATAACTAGTAGTACTCAGCACCGAGGCGTCTTTCATGCGCGAAATATTGTGGTACCCACACGTCTTCACCTTCCTCCTCATCGCTCTCTTCCGCCCCCGACTCCCTTCCATTATCATAAGGGATCGCATCCCCAGTGGACTCGTCCTCTGAAATATCCTCTACTGGAGCTGCTTCCCATCAGTATTAGTCCAAATTCTGGCATTTCAGGTCGCAGAGACGTGAAGTCTCGCGGACGTAGGATAGGCCGGAGCGGTGCCAAGCTGCAGGAGCACTCACGAGGCATTGTCGTAGACCCTGAAACGAAGCTAAACAGCCTGGAAAACACCGTAGCGATTGAGATATCGAGCAGCTATGAGCAATTCAGAATGAGTGGCAGATGGGAAAGGCAATGCGCCGAGCGCGAAGTCGACTGCGTGAATCTCTTGGAGTTGAATTGCCGGCGCGCAAAGTCGCGTGGGAGGCCCAGCGCCAAGCCACATCGGGCAAGCAGCTCACTAGCCTCACTCGGTCAATCTCCAGAATTTCGAGGTCCAAAAAGGCCCACGCATGTGCACGCCAGCAGTCTGTGTCTAGATCACCGCCGGCACCCTTGTCGAACAGCTGCTCTGTTGCGAAGGTCACCTTTGATTTCTTCTTTTTTCAACTGATATCGTTTTTGTTCCCCCGGTGCTAACTCTGCCGTGTGGCAGAACACTTTCAAAATGGCGATGCGTATGTTCAGATACCCCTCATTATGAAGCCCATCGCTGACAACTCTCTTTTTTCAGAGCTTGATATGTCTAATGGTAACTACCCGCGTCTTTCCGTTCGCTAGTATTCGGATGGATATCAGTCTAAACAATATGTGGCAGCTACGGTGATGAAGGATGAGCAGGGCCGGCCATTTATCGTCGTCCGAGAGTACGTCGCCCCTCCGATATAGCATGGTTCCCAAGACGGTACATGAGCTTCCGGACAACTTATATTGACTCCGTCTGCAGTCAGGGAAAGAAGAAGAGGCAGCATGGTACAGATGCCGTCAAGTCGCACATTGTTGCGGCCAAGACGGTCGCCAATATTGTGAAGACATCGCTGGTATGGTTATACGCCCTACTCTTTTTGGAACGGTCATCTGAGATGTCGCTACAGGGCCCTCGTGGTTTGGACAAGATCCTCATCTCTCCGGACGGAGACATCACTGTTACAAACGATGGAGCTACTATTCTGTCGCAGGTCAGTCATAAGCCGCCCTCCGAGCGCTCATTCGATGTGTCCTAACCGATGTCAAAGATGGAAATCTCCAACAACGTCGCCAAGCTCCTTGTGCAGTTGTCGAAATCCCAGGATGATGAAATTGGTGATGGCACAACTGGTGTGGTAGTATTGGCTGCAGCTCTTTTGGAGCAGGCTTCCGACCTGATCGACAAGGGTATCCATCCCATCCGGATAGCGGACGGTTACGACCAGGCCTGTGAGATTGCTGTGGCCCAGCTCGATAAGATTAGTGACGAGATTCCATTTACCAAGGACAACACGGAAAACTTGGTCAAGGTAGCGAAGACGAGTCTTGGAAGCAAGATGTGTGATCTCCACTGCTCGAATTCATTCCCATACACAACAGATGCTGACTGTTTACCAGTGTCTCGAAATCTCACGACCAGTTTGCTAAGATAGCCGTCGAGGCCGTACTCTCCGTTGCCGATCTCGAGCGCAAAGACGTCGATTTCGAACTTATCAAGGTCGACGGAAAGGTCGGCGGTGCTCTCGAGGATTCTCTTCTCGTCAAGGGCGTCATTGTCGACAAAGACTTCTCGCACCCTCAGATGCCAGACGAAGTTAGAGATGCTAAGCTGGCAATCTTGACTTGCCCATTTGAACCGCCTAAGCCGAAGACCAAGCACAAGCTCGACATCACATCAGTCGAAGAATTCAAACGGTTACAATCCTACGAGAGGGAGAAGTTCTCGGAAATGATTCAGCAGCTTAAGGACAACGGAGCGAACTTGGTTATCTGCCAGTGGGGTTTCGATGATGAAGCAAACCACCTGCTTCTTCAGAACAACTTGCCCGCTGTCCGATGGGTCGGTGGGCCTGAGATCGAACTCATTGCCATCGCGACAAACGGAAGGATCGTTCCCCGTTTCGAGGACCTGAGTCCTGAGAAGCTTGGAACGGCTGGTCTCGTCCGCGAAATGAGCTTCGGTACTACGCGCGAAAAGATGCTCGTCATTGAGGAATGCGCCAACAGCCGCGCAGTGACCGTTTTCGTAAGAGGTAGCAACAAGATGGTCAGTGTTCCTCGTATACACCCGCGTTACGATCATCCAGAAAGAACTAACGTGTTTTCCCTGCATCAGATCATCGACGAAGCCAAGCGTTCGCTGCATGACGCCCTCTGCGTTGTTCGTAACCTTGTGCGCGACAACCGTGTCGTGTATGGAGGTGGTGCAGCCGAGATTGCATGCTCTCTCGCTGTTGAGGAAGCCGCTGTGAAGGTCAGTCCATATCAAGTTGTGTCTTCTAGTTGCTGGTTTCTGACTTGTCTTAAAGAGCCCGGGAATTGAACAATACGCCATGCGTGCCTTCGCCGACGCTCTGGACTCCGTCCCCATGACTCTTGCTGAGAACTCTGGCTTGAGCCCTATTGAGACTCTTGCCTCGATCAAGTCGAGACAAGTTAAGGAGAATAACTCAAGACTCGGTGTGGACTGCATGCTCACCGGTGACAATGGTATGTCTTGCCTATTCGCCCTAACCTTGTTGGCACTGCTAATAATCGTTTCTTTTAGATATGAGATCCCGCTTCGTCATTGATCCCCTTATTGGAAAGCGCCAGCAGCTCCTGCTTGCTACCCAGCTATGCCGAATGGTTCTCAAGGTAGGGAAATCGCGGTTATTGCTTACATTTCTAGATAGTTGCTGACCCAGAACAGATCAACAATGTCATCATTGCCGGCGATGACGAGAACGAGTTCTAGGTTCCCTTTGTATAGATTATACAGGGCACGAACTGCATGAGATATATTCCATGATGTGGCGTACAGGAAACCCAAAAACGAAATCTATCTCCCTCTATGATTGAGGATAATTAGTCTCGCCCGCCTCTCTTTTATATGTAAAACAGCAAACAAAAAGCAATAGAAGCTGCAGCATCGCGGAAGGATCGACTAGTTTTCATCTTTTCCTATGAATTGAAAAGGTTGGAGTGATGACTTAGAAGACACAACCTGGAGAACTCTTTCTGTCGAAGCAGTAGGAGTAACAGCTAAATGGTAAAAGTTGGCAATATGGTAGATCAATAACGTATATCATGACTATTCAGTATACTACAAGTAATTGGCATGAGCTCGGAGTAAAGAGACAGAAGAGCAATATATTCAGCGTTGTATCTTTTCTGATATTCCAAAATGCGACTTGCTTCGCTATCGTGCCAACGACGAATGATTACATCTCCAAATGAGCAGCATCATAAACAATCCTTGAGACTCGACATATGATGCGAAACTCTTATAAAGATTCTCTTCGCAAATCTCTATCTCGGCCGATTTGTGGAGAGGGCAAGAAGTCTCCTTTCTCGATGTAATGCCAGAAGGATACCTTGTCAAATAGAAATAAGAATCGAAAAATAAACTTGACACAGGCTTTTACTAGATGCAAGTCAGCACTTTAGCGGCCCTGCTATCTTTCATCCTCCTGAAACAAGGAAGTTATCAAAGTGGGAAAGTAGGTCTGTCTTGTAGTGCAAATCCAGATACTTGAGAAATTGAACAGACGTGTTAATGACTGTGGTTGAGTGTCATGGGACCTTCCTGGTCGCTTCCAGTATGCTTCATCATAGGGTTCATCGATGAATTAGAATAAAATAATTCCTAAAGCTCTTTTGATACAGCTAAGGAAGCCTGAAGGAGTCGCAGTCAGGCCACTTAAGACTCTTTCATCAAACATATGTGCGCAGGGAGATCTCTATGTCCTATGAGCAAGTTAATGACATCCTTCACGGTCTCTAGATCTGCAGAGTTCCCTCCATAGGATCTTAATGCTGAGAAACAAGAAGAATAAAATTGTCTACATAGGTCTGAGCTATTAATGATAGCACACTTACAAGGAATTATTATAGATCTACGAGAATATCTTTTATTAAAAAGAAATAGCAGATGACTGTGGGCTATTTCTCTATCGGAATATAAAAGTGGTAGTTATGTCAGCTATAATAAGTGACGGGCTCGGTCTGGACATCAGTATTGTTTTCCTCTCATTGAAACGCTACTAACATATGACAGTAAATCACTTCAATCTCCTCTATCCACAGATATTACTGTGTCTACAGTATTATATCATTCGCTAGCTCAAAACTGGAGAGACTACCACAAATGTCCCGAGGAATGTTCTCGCGGTGTGTGCAGGACATACTCCAACACCAGAAACTAGCGGTCAAGAAAATGCGAGCAATAATAGCTATCATCTTCTATCCCGAAATAGAAAGGAGGTAACTACGGTGAGTATATCACACGGGTGTGACCCATGCAAGCTTCTCTCACCGTTTAATACAATAACCTGTAAATCGGTGAGAACCGTATAGGACGCTCGACCGTACTGAACAGAGCACAGACAACCGTGTATTTTTACCATCGGTACTTTTCCGGAGTTCAAGTTCATGGGATGCTCTTCCCCCACTCTCTAGAGTAAACAGATGCGTTAGGGGCCCAACTCCCTTTCCCCTGGGACAGACGGCTTCGAAACGGCGACTGCCAGCTATCGTTCGGTAGCATCAAATAGCGTATACTGTGGACCGTCTATGCCTATAATAGAATTTAAAGCGCAGCAAAGGCCGTTCGTGCATCCGTAGGTCCTGCTCCGTTGGGAAGAGACTTCGTAATAGATGCTTGCATCGTTTACGCATAAGCAATCATGCGGATCACGTCGCGTCATAATAAAAGCTGCTCCGTTGATTGGAAGGGAGAGAGCCGAGCCGAGCTGGCTTCTCAAAATTGAGTTGATTTGGAGTTGTTCGTAGTCTGACCACGGAGTCCCGGCGTCTTTCTGTCAAATACCCACAGAAGCTTGGACATATGTTGGAATGGACAGCCGAGCGATACTCTATATAGATAGAGTAAAGGATAGGTATTCGATCGTAACAAGCTCCTGAGTTCGTAATACGTGTATCAGTTATGGTCCTTAAATTGTAGGGAGTACGACCCAACTTAGCGGAGATAACGCACTAGTTATTTGCCTCATTATTAGAATCAACGGAGGCTGCGTTAGTGGTACTTTGTGTCCCAGCAAGCTGGTTAATGGGTCATAAGGTGACCGTTCCGACGGCACAGGCGCTATTATTGATAGAGAACTGGTAGAAGAGTATGCAAATCCATATCTAGGCACGGCATGCCGTGATTAGGAAGGCATCTCCAAGTTCCGTGCCGTCAAATGCGGGCTTCTTGAGACAGATAACAACTTGATTGAATAGCTCATCCATGGTGAGCAGCATATTGATGTGCCTAAGATTCAGCATATGGTTTCGTAATCACAACTTTCCCCAACTTGAGATAGAATCATGGAGAAACTCCGCAGGGTGTTACCGGAGTCCAGGGAATAGCTGTAAATTACGCAACGGCCTCATTCAAGCATTTACTCAGGCTTCCGTTGGTTGTAAAGATAGTAATAGAATTTATGCGGAACCATCTTGATATCTCCGCCGTTCAAGAACAGGAGCTTCCTAGACTGATTCTCGAATTAGCTGATTGTTGGCGCTGAAATTAGACTAGGTACTAAGTAGAACGAGAAGCCCCTGAAAAGAATTGATTCCTCTAGGATCATATGACCGTTTAACATTACCGTTGATGCGCGCCGCAGATTCCAGTGGGTCGAGGACGTCGCAGGTTTACTAACTCAGAATGCAGCATTGTTTTATTTGGTATCCTCTAACGTTGCAGTAAGAAGTCCTATATCCGGGGCTGCGCGCCGTGGACCGCACTCTGGGGACCGCTCCAGGGGGTGGGGGAGTCCCGAGGACTTGGTAGCATTGACGCAGGAGAATATAGTATGATAAGAGTGGATTCAATAGTGCTGTACCAGTCATGAACTGAATCATATCTCAAATTCTTGGACTGGTAGAGACAGGGCATGAAGGCTTACTCAAATACTTACTGCAACTACTAAACTTCGTAGCAGGAGAGCCTTTGTCAATCTCATCATATGAGAAACCACAGACGGACAATGTCCGTCAACAGTGCTAGAAAATATGGTTATTCGGACTAGAGCCATGAGATACTCCTAAACATGGCGCTTCGCAGTTTTGCCAGCTACATGCGTAGAGTCGCGGAATTATCTTCCTGTGCATATATTCTGTGGCCGGTGTATCTTCTGCACGGGCGTGACGACGAGTAACTAACCATCTTGAAAAGGAGCCACTATGAATTAATCTAGTTACTACCATTAAATAGTGCGTCCCATGAACCGAATTCTCACCAGCGGGTGGAAGTAAATCCCTGTCCCGCGGTCTAAATGATCTAAACGCAAGTAGGTATATGAAAGCGCTAGCGCTGACAACGCTATCACGGGTTTGATATAGACTTACAGGTCTGCGCTGGTCAAGATAGCCAGATAAGCTTCCTATGCGATCACGTTCGAAAGATGCGGTGTTTAGGTATTTGCGATATTTGCCAGCAGCTGCCTAATACCAGGCGAAGAAAGCGCTGTCATTCTAGCTGTCAACGAACCAGGTATCAAGTTATAGGCACCTACTATAATCTCAATGCCATTCTCGAATTTGCTGTTAAGTTATCACGAAGATACGCGCTTTGTTGTATGATATAATTCTCTCGAGGTTGTAATGCGACTCTCTGGGGAAGATAGAGATAACCAGCCCCGAGGTACAGTCTGTAACCAAGAAGTAGCACGATAAAACACCCAAGCGGCAAAGCAAGCATCTAAACACAGACAAAAAGATAAAGGAATATAGGATACTCTGGGTTCCATGATATATCATTTGACTGATCAAGTCACGCAATAAATATTTCTACCTTTATCTTTCTCCCCAGCAACCAGTAGGACCTATGTATGGAGTAGAATACCTCTGTATGTACATACATACATACTTTGTTCCTAATCGGCTCCAACCAGTCTCACCCCATATTGCAATCTCCACCATACATATAGCTGAGTAAGGTTAGGCAAGCTGTAATCTCAGGATTGCTAAATCTGCCATTGTCAGCTGCTTATGACTTCTGTTCCACGTCACTCCTGTCGTTACCTACCTAGGTATTACTTGATATTGCCGGTCCAACTTGATCATTGAAAACGGTACCAGATCTGATAGTCCACCTTTTGTACGAACGAGTATTGAATGTCTCCATGGTTCGCCTAAGACGGTAAGACCCATCCGTTTGCGGGGTTGGTGCTTCCCCGTCTTTGCGGAGTCTTTCCTACGCGGATCTCCGCATGAACCATACTCCTTTTCTCAAGCATACAATTCTGGACTTGTCCGTTTGTTTCGCATATCGCGTCTTGTACCCAGTCAAGACTCAGATGGTATGCCAGGCGATTACCCAGGAACGAGGAGATACCTTTTCCTCGTCTGTATGGTAATTGGGCTGATCACAATAGTTACTTGACTATGTGACGTATATTGGGTTTTACATACAATATACTGTCCCGATCCATGTCTGGTTTGGTTGAGACAGGTGATCAACAGTATTCTCGTAGTTTCCGCCAGCTGGGCAAGGGAGCTATTGGGAATGGCTTACGGTCTGACGGGTTAGATGCATATGGGCTCGTCTGAAGCATCAATAGTTGTCCTTTTTACCTGGTCATCTGCTCCTTCTTGTGGCAATAACGGGCAATAATGGAATGTGTTCAGCCTCCATAACTTGTTACGTACCCAAGATGTATGTCTGTATCCGGGGAACTGCATCAAATCTTCCGCCCCCGGACTCAGAATCAGGTTGTAGTATCCATTCTTAGCAGTTGGATCTCATCTCCATCCTTGGTTGGACGAGCAGAATAGGGCTGGCTTCCAGCGACCAGGACGATCTCAGCCTCGCCAATGGGACAGTCAAATCAGCAGTCCGTCATGGCAGATCCAAGCGCCACATTCCTGAACCCCGGACATCTCCCCCGCGGTCCAGACCCCGGTATGCGCACTCTGTGGCCTCAGCGTTCGTAGACAACTATCTTGGTTCTTTGTCTATTTGTCAAAGATGTTCAAGAAATTTTTGTGATATCGGTTCGGTTGTACCATTTCCCCAATTCCACGGACCAGGGTAGGGGTGAAATAAGACAGGGCTCGGGGAGACGATCACCGACGTCTGCGGGAATTGGCGCAAAATTGGTCGCCGGGTACAAGTATCCTGGAAAGTGAGTGA